TGGCACAGAGTGTCACTGAAGGACTGCTGGGGAGCAGAGTGGAGGGCCTTTCTTATGCAGGAGAGAAGTGCTGTGACTTCTGCTTTATACATGACACAGAGAGCACCCGTGGCTGCCAAGCCTGGCTGCTCCGCACAGTCCCCTGGGCGCCTCTGGGCCACAGCTGCCAGGCCCAGCCCAGCCCACGGCCCTCAGCAGTCTGAGGCAGGGCCTGGCCTAGAGATTTGCGGAGAGCTGCCATTTGCCGCCTTCCAAGCAACTTCCTGTGGGGTTCTGAGCCCGGGGCCCACGCTGCCTCCCGTGAGCCCGGGCAGCGTGTGCTAACTGCACAGGTAGCTGTTGGGGCAGGAGGGCAGTTCGGCCAGGCCAGGGCGTCTACAAGGCAGCCCCTCTGGGGTCAGCCATGCTGGTTAGGACTCCTGAATCATTTTAGGGTCATCATGTCATCAACATTGCCTTGGATGGCAACTGGCTTGGCCCCAGTTGCTCCACTGTAGCTCTCTGCTCTCCACAGCTCTCCCCTCCTCCCAGCCATGGAGAAGGAAGAAAGGGTGTGGCTACGCATCCCAGAGGGTGCTCCCCCCCCCCACACACAGGCAGGTATGTAGCTCACACACGTGCACACGCCCAGCCTGCCAGGGGTCCCCATTTAGACGTCCACAGCCCCGTCCAGGCCAACCGCCCTCCCCTGATCCTCTGCACCTGCCTTACCCACTCAGCACCTGCTGCTCCTGGCTCTCCCTGCTGGAGTGGGCCTGCTCTGGATGGCCCCAGGACAAGCAGAGGGATCTGAGTCACGGGCCATGCCTGCAGGGATGTGGGGAGCACAGGCTGGCCAGCCACTGGAGTGGTCGTCCTGGGGTGGTGTGGGAGCCAGTCTATGGAGTCTGGGAGGAGAAAGCTGGGGTCACCTTGCCCCTCCTGCCCAGTGTTCCCCACTCTGCCCTTCTTCCCTCTGCTCCCCTCCAGCCCCATTCAGCCCCTCCCCTTGCCTGGGGGCCACAGTGTTTTCCTATTTTCTCTCCTGCCTCTGCCTTGGAACCACAGTCCACCTGCTCAAATTCTAGGCTGGCCTCTCTCCTTCTTGGCCAGAGTCCAAGATTGAACCTGCTGCCCTCCTCAGTTTAGATGCCAGTCTCCTGAGCATGGTGCCCCTTGCCCATCTGCAGCACTCTCCCCCACCATCCAATGTGCACAGTCCCTGCCACATGCTGGGTGCTGCTCCAGGGCCGGCAGAGTCATGAGCACGGAGCATGAGACAGACTCCTCAGCACACCAGAGCTGCAGCACCCCAGCCCTCACAGGGGTCTCTGCACATGCTCTGCTGTTCCTGTAGACTTGTCTGCTGATGCTGTCCCTGCTGCCTGGCCTGCCTTGCCCTCTGTGACTTTGTTCTCCTGAAAAACGCCTCTTGAGCCTTCATATTGGTTCTGTTTCCCCTCTTGCCTGAGTGTCCATGAGCCATCTGGTGCTCCATCTCCACAGCCACCTCTGCTTCTTCTCCACCCCTGCGTTCATTGTTTCTGCCCCAGCAGCTCTTGGTGGGTAGGGTTTGGGGGGATTCTATATTTTAATTCTACTCTTCTGTGTCCCCCGCTATTATCTTAGGACCAAGCATATATTAGGCGCTCAATGAATGTTTAAACACAAAAGAGGAAACCCAGGCTCAGGAGGTTAGCTGACTTCCTAGGCCCAAGCCTCAAGGGGGTCTCGTATTTGGAAGAGCCCACTTTCCAACAGGGGGACTGTCCTGTGTATAGTCACTCCCGTTGTTTATTCAGACTCACGCTTTTTCTTTGCTTCTAGACAGTGATTACACTCTCCCAAGGAAAGTTGCAGCTTGATGAGTGTTCTTGCATGAAGAACCTGACTCCAAATAAAAAAAATACAAAATAGGGCTGGGGATGTGGCTCAGTGGTTCAACCCCTCGTACCCCTCAAAAAAGGGAGTTGGGATGTGCTCAATGGTAAGGCCCTCGTGGGTAAATCCCCAGAACCCCTACCCCAAATAATAAAATAAAATAGCTGACCAAATGGCTGTGAGGTGGTATCTCATTGGGTTTGGATTTGCATTTCCCTAGTGATTGGACTGTGGAGCATCGTTTTTTGTGCTTGTTGTATATCTCCTTAGGCATCTATTTTCTTTGGAGAAATTTCCAGTCAGGCCCATTTTCAACTTAGTTTTTTTAGTTGTAGGAGTTTTTTAAAAAATTTTTTCTGAATATTAATCCCTTATCAGATATGATTTGCAAATATTTTCTCCCATACTGAATAACCTTTGTACTCAGTACTCTTCTTTGATGTACAAAAGCTTCTCATTTTGATGGTTAATATAAATATTTTTCTTTCATTTTGCCTATTCTTCCAAAATTATTGCCAAATTCAAAGTGAATTTGGGGTGAAACTTTCCCCCTCACCCCATTAAAACAATTTTATAAACATCTAAAGCGCTGTTTAAATGTCCTTAGGGCTGTCATGCTTCAGAGCACTCATGAACGCTAAGAATAACTTATTCAGGTGAAATTCACCCACCATGAATTAGCCATCTTAAGGTGAAAATGTGGCGTCATTCAACACATCCACCTGTGCGTGTCCTGTATTTTTTTGGCCCTTTCTGGTTTCCGCTCTGGATTATCCACACCATCATTCCATCTTTATAGTAATCCTGAGTACCTGAGAGCCACAGACCTACTTCCCTGAGGGCACAGCGCCTGGGGCAGGCCACTGGGTGTGCAGGGTTAGACAGTCTGAACCAGCTGGGCATCCTGCTCAGTAGGCCCGTGACCTTCCCCTTCTTCTCTGGGTCCCCTTATTTGCATCATCTGTGTCTCCAAGGCTCTTCACTTCTCAGTCTGATTGCTGGTTGGCTCCACCTGACATTTCTCCCACTTACGGTTTCTCAAGGATGGGGCACTTGAGAAGTGCCTGTAGCATGAGCCATGGGGACTTATTTAAAAGCACAGAGCCTAGAGCCCCTGGGAGGTCATCTAGCCCCCTTCTCTGGTGTTAAGAGGAGGAAAGGGAGGCCTAGAGAAGAGGAACTGTGAAGCCTCACACACAGCTGGAGACTGGCCCTGACACTCCACCCCAACCTCAGTAAGTCATTCCACCCATCAGAGGAAAAGGAATAGCAGAGATTGGCTCTGCTTGAGCCTTACCAGTACCTGTGGCAAGAGCTGCCAATCGAATCCTGACCACACCCTGCAGGGTTTCAGCAAAAAGGAAACAGAGGCTTGAGCTGTTGAGGGCACCTATCTCACAGGTAATGAGCAGGAGCCAAGGGTTTGATGCCTTCCAGAGTGCGGTCCATGCCTCCAACAGGTACCTGTGAGCCTCTGTCCTGCACACTGGGCAGTCCAAGGTGAGGATTCAGGCCCTGCCCTATGCAGAGGACATGGTGGAGTCAGACAACTGTCAGCAAAGTCCATCCTTTTGTTGAATCAGTAGCTTTAATGACTTATCTTGCTGAGGGGACCCGTCTCTGAGCCCAGGTAGTCTCCAGGCTTGTGAGAATTAGCTTAGACTCCTACTGGTTAGACTGCTTAGGAGTCAGGCTGTGGTCCTCTGGCCTTGTTCTGCCCAGGGTGAAGGGATTCCCTGGTTTCCAGATCCAGCCCAACTTTCCCTTCGATTTTTTCTTTAAATATATACTTTATTTTAGATGGCACAATACCTTTATTTTATGTGGTGCTGAGGATCAAACCCAGTACCTCACATGTGCTAGGCCAGTGCTCTACAACTGAGCTACAATCCCAGCTCTGCCCTTTGATTTTTTCTTGCTCATGATCATTGTCTCCCGCCCCCCCCATTGCCAGGTGTTTGACATTATCATTAAGCATTTATTTTATTTTTTTTGTACTGAGGATAGAACCCAGGGGTGCTAAACTGAGCCCCATTCCCAGCCTTTTCCATTTTTTATTTTGAGACACAGTCTTGCTAAGTTCCTAGACTGGTCTCAAACTTGCCATCCTCCTGCCTCAACCTCTGCAGTAGATGGGCTTACAGGCGTGTGCCTCCGGTATTTTATTTTAAACACAGACTTCTAGGTTATTAGAACTAGAAAAGTCCCTTGGACTCATTTCCTCTTGATTTTACAGATGGCAAGAGGGAGTCCAGAGTGGGGACTGTCGCCTGGGAGGCAGGCTACGATTGGGCCCCCTCAGGTCCCGCCGCCCTGGGCTCGCTGACTGCCCCTTTCTCTGGGTCCACGGCCCACCAGGGATCAGGTCAGGCTGCAGCTGACCAGGGAAGGGCGCTGCCAGGCCTCAGTCCCCAAGTTCCCACGCCCCCCTCCAGCAGCGCCCATCCAGCTAGGTTCCTGCTGAACGTTTCTCCGGCGGGACACTGCCAGCCTCAGGTTACCGCCGCAGTCACTAAGCAGGACCCGTGGTGGCACTCCCTTTCCCGTCCCTCCCACCCCGCAGGGTGCGCCCGGGGCCTATAGCCACAGGGAGCGGCGCCTAAGGCCGGGTGACGTGGCGAGGCACCTGGGGACCCGCCCAGCGTCCCTCAGCCCTCGGGTAAGGGGAGGGGCGGGGCGAAAGGGCTGCTGCTCACGCTCACGCCGCGCACGCGTTGGACCCGGTTAGGAAGTGACGACGCAGCCCCGCCCAGCGGGGCCCGCCCCTTCTCGCCGAGGGCCTCGCTCGCTCTGAGACCTCGCCCACCACCAAGGCCCCGCCCCGTCCACACGCAGGCCCCGCCTCGTCTCGCTGGGGCCGCTCACTCTTAGACCCCGCCCACCACTAAAGCCCCACCCACCGGCCTCGTCCCGCCCACACGCAGGCTTTGCCGCTTCGCCGGCCCGGCTCCCTCTGCAGGCCCCGCCCACCACAAGGCCCCACCCCGATGCCCCCGCCCACCACAAGGCCCCTCCCCGTCTCGCCGGCCCCCCCACCGCTCACTCTGAGGCCCCGCCCATTTCATCCCCAAGCCCCGCCCCGGCCCCGCCCCGTGGGCGGCCCTCGCGGGGACCGACCCGAGGCAGTGCGGTGGCTTTCTAGGGTGCCGGCGAGCCCAAGCGCCCGAGCTCGGCGCACCCAGCTGGCCGCGGACGGGCCATGGCGGAAGCCAAGCTAAAGCACCTGTCGCTGCCCTCCGGGCTGCTGGAGCTGTGCGCTCTGCTGGGCGCCCCCCAGGAGAGCCTCCGCGGCCTGGAGCAGGTAAGGGGCCGGTGGGGACACTGAGGCGGAGAGTGGGTCAGATCCGGGCGAGTACGAGGTGGAGCCCAGGCACCGGGGGGCTGGCTCAGGCTTCCGCCAGCTCTGCTCCTGCTGGCCGTGTCCCCGCCCGTCCCGCTTCTGCTCCCTTTGGGTCCGGGGCTCCCCGCGGGTCCAGCTCTCCTGTGCCCATGAAGTCCACGATGCCCTCGCGAGGCCCCGCGCCCTGCTCAGTGGGCTACAGGGCACCCGAGGCCATGGCGGGTACCGTCGTCTGCCTGGGGCCGAGACCAGCAGCTGTTCGCCAAACATCGCCTAATGGGGGCCCCTTCCCTTACCCTCCCGGGGGACCTTCTCTCCAGGGCAGCCGCTGGCTGGATTTGCACCTAGTGATAGTCATGATGCAAAAGGGCTCGCATCCGTTGGAGCCTTTCTCCGTGTTCTTTAGCCTTCCAGGTCTCCCCTGCCCTCGGGATCCCCCCACTTGGGGCAAGGTGCTAACGCCTCGGGACCCCGGGAGTTCACCTCTAGTGGACCAACTCCTTGCAATTAGCCGATTTAATGATTTCTTTCATTACACAAAGATTTATCATCTCCTAAACAGTGACTTCTGCAGTAGACTCAGAATAATGAGTCTTCAAGTTTTAGGTTTCACCAGCAGCTTCAGATACTTTGCCTGTAGTTGTGCAACGCAGCCTAGCTGTTTTTCTCTCTTGCAGTAACCAGTAACTCCCCACCATCAGGGTTCCCCCTCCAACCCTAGACCCCTAAGAGTGAATTCAAATCCCCTTCTCCGGGAAACAGCAGTTTTAGAAAATCTTGTTCTAGTTTCTTTCCTGGGTTCTCACCTTTTCTGGAACCTGGGCTCTGTTTTGAATCTGCCTCTGCCCCTTTTTCTCCTGGCCCAGCATGTCTGTGTCTCCTAGTAGCCCCTTCCTCTCTTTCCAGGAGGGGCATGAGTGATTAAGTGATGGCCAGGAAAAGTGAACCATGTGCTGAGTGGAGGTCACCAGGAAAAGTTAAGCATTACTAACCGTAACTGGTGATGTCTGCTAATGTCTCGGTGGTCTCTACTGCTAGGCTTTAGTACAGAGCCCATTTTGACTTGGGTGGAAAGCCTTGTTCTATATAGAGATTATTTCTGCATCTCCTTTCCTTTTTTTTACTTCTAGATCCCCCACAATGCCAGGGTATCCCTTTTTGATGAGCATGATTGATTCAGTTGTCTCTGCCTTCAGTTTGCCGAGTGGCTTTGCCTCCCCTTCTTAGAACAGGAAGCAACCCGGTTCCACTGTGGTCTCCTTGGCAGGCCATCGTCTTTGCTCCCGAGCAGCTACTGCACGTCTCTTGGTGGCTTAGTGTGAGGCATGTCTTCTGAGCACAGGATGAATCAACTGGAATATTTACAGTGGTACTTTCCTGAACAAAACGGGCTGCACCTTCCTCTAGGTCAAGTGAGAGGGCACAGTTGCTACTGTACTCTGATTCTTCTAGGGGATTGGTAAAGAGTGGAAAGAAATCAGTCAAAGGATAGGGAAAAAAGAGGGAGGAGATGGATAAACTTCTGCGGTAACCCTACTTCTAAATCAACACCAGTGTTACAGTTTACCAATTATATGATTTTATTTAGTTTTGTTTTTTTTGTAGCAATTCTCTTTTGAACGTCCAAGGTTTTCAAAATAATTTTTAGTTTTACTTCTTAAAATCACCATTTCTCTGGTTCAGGCATTTATTCACACATGACAGAACAGAGGCCAGAGGTCTGAGGATATCCAGTTTAAGATTCGGGTATCCTGGTGCCCTTTATGTTTTGTGCCTCAGGTGGGGGTGGGTGTTGGTCTGTTGTGGCAAGGAACTCGGGGTGGGCTGCTTGTGAGGGCTTTCCCCTCCACCTGCAGAGGGCTCCCCTTTCTTGGTGCATGGGAGTCCAGAGTGGCCAAGAGAGCTCCAGCACAGGTCACCAGCAGAGCTCTGGGGCATGGAGGTGCGGTTTTGTGGTCTTACTGCAGGCCGCCTGGCCTTCTGTTCCTAGAACAGTACTCTCCAACAGAACCTGCTGGCGGATGGCCCTGTGCTCTCTGTCCATACCGCCCATATGGTAGCCCCTGGCTGGGCGGCTGCCCTTGAAATGTGGCCAGTGCTGCCCCTGGGCTTTGCTTCCCCCAGTTTTGATTAGTTTAAATTGAGCAGCCACAGGTGGCCTCTGTCAGCATGGTTCTGGAGCATTTTAACAAGTCTATTAAGTCCTGTTGTTTCATTACTTGTCATTACCAGTCCTGTAGTGACAAGTAACGACACTGTTTAGTCTGGTTTAAAAATAAATCTGTGGCTTGAATGAGTTGGACTGTTATGGTTTTTACTTTGTAGTTAGCTTTTTTAAAAAACCTATTCCCAAGTTTTCAATTCTGAACGTGATAAATATTCATATATTATTTCAGACTTACCAGAAGTGCATATTTGTTGCTCAATTTACATTTTTAAAGGTGTTCCCCATCTGGGACGATGGGACAAAATGGCTTAAACTAAAATGAGGGCTTCTGAGAGAGGTTTAGTCAGTCAGGGCTTGGGACTTTCTAAGGGTGGCACCTGCGAGCCCTGGTGCAGGCTGGCAGGGGCGGCAAGGGCCGGTTGGCCTGTGTGCCGCATCCTGAGTCACCTGTGCTCTCTTGGGCTTCCCCCCTCCTGGAAGGTGGTCTGACAAGGGACGTGTGCAGCCAGGTTTGGTGAGACTGTGCCTTGCTGTTTAATCAGCAGGTGAAGACTGGCGGCCCCCAGCTGCTGCCCAGGGTGGGTGATGCGTTAGTGTGCTGTGAGTGGGGAGGGCCACGCTGCAGGGTAGGTAGTCAAGTCCATGACTGTATTATAAAGAAATGTCCTGGGTTTACATCTGGATAGAAAAAATGGAAGGAAGTGTCCTGGGCTGTGCAGAGGGTGTTGCTGGGTGTCCTGGGAGGCCTTCCGTCCTGGTGTTTCCTTTAGTAGTACATTGTTGTTATTTGTGAACAGTGGCACAGTATTGCTTATCCCACCAGGAGAGAGCGGCCTTTGTGTCTGAAACTCTGAGGGAGAAAGATACAGACGTGTGTACTTCCAGTTAAGGGCTCAGAGCTTGGGTCTCGGTGGGAAAGTTTTCGAGGAGGTTTTGTGCGACTAGAGACGTGGATTTCTTTCATGTGAGGGACTGAGAGACGTTCAGATGATGCAGTGATACGGGTCTCCCATGTTTGGCCTTTGTTCCTACTCGTGTGTTTTCCCCAAATAGAAACAAATCGTTGGCAGAACTTGAGCGTTGGTGCTTACTGAGCTACCAGAGCCCTCCCAGGACAAGCGTGCCCCTGCTCCTGTGGGTCCTACGGAATGTTGACTACTGGCTTTCCTTCTGAAACCGAGGTCTCCTCACTGCTGGGGACAGTGGCCCTTCTGGTGTCCCTCAGAAACCCTCCAGTGCCCACTCCCAGCCCTACCGGCCGTCTCCTGTCCTCCCGAATCCGTGCATCCAGAACTGCGGATGGGGGCTCTTCTGTGTTTAGCCAGCTCCGCACCAGAACGCTTCCTTGCCTCATGGGATGCATTTTGCCCAAGTTCTTTGGAAGTGGGACAGACTGCGTGCTCACCCAGCTCTGTAGTGGGCTGTGTCAGGCCCTGGGTTTGGTAGGAGAGGTTGGGTTCTGCCTGCTCTTTGCATTACTTGGGGGAAAATGGAGAGATTAAAGATACAAACAGATCTCATACCAGCTTGAGATCCTATAGACTTCAGTCCAAGCACGCCTCTCTTACTGATCCCAAGGGACCCCGTGGGCAGCCGGGGAGGCTGTGTCTGTCGGAGCCCTCCCCACTGCTCTGTCCAGCTGCCTATGCAATTGATGACCAGTGGGCCCGGAGCCTGGGACTGCGTTTGGTAGGGGTTTTGCTGTACCGAGCCTCTCTCTGTGTCTGCCCTCTGACCTCCCTATGCTGGGTGGCTCTTGTGTTCCTGAGGCTTCGCCGCGGGCTCAGCTCTTGACCTCCATGGCTGCCCTTGTTCCCTGTACTCGTCTCTCGAGAGGGAACCTCAGAGGGCCAAGTGACTTGTGCAGGGCAGAGCCGGGTTTTGAACTCAGGTCTTTGGATCCCAGCACCTGGTTCTGAGCTTCAGTGCTTGGCAAGGGGGTGGCTTCCATGCTGTACAGCGGCAGCTCCAAGCCCCAGGAGGTCCTGTGGTGCAGGGCCGGGGAGCTCCTGAGGATCTTCAGGGCTCTTTCCTGCCGTGAGCCTGGGGTGGGAAAGCCACTCCTGCTGAGACCTTTAAAGGACAAGGAGAACCACCCGAGTTGGGGAGGCAGAGAACTGGGAGGAGGACGCTGGGCTAGGAAGGACATCAAAGAGGAAGACGGACACTGCAGTGACTCCTATTTTCCCTTTTCCAGGCTGCCCAGAGAAGGGGAATCGGAAGCCTTTCTCCCCTTGACCCGGAGGTCCTGTCTGTTTTTGTGCCTCCTTTCATCAGTAAAGAGGACAGTCAGATGGCCGGTGCAAGCTGCGGCACTCTGGGGAAAGGCAGAAGGCGCTCCTTCAGGAAGAGGAGAGAGAAGCCCAAGACGGAGCACGGGAAGGGGGGCCCGGGAGACCCCAAAGGGCTGGATTCTGCAGACATCAGCATCCCGGGCGGTGTGGACCTCCTCGCCCTGCCCCAGCTGTGCTTCCCAGGTACCGTACCCAGGTGGCAGACGGGTGGCCTAGCGCTGGCTTGCTGCAGGGCGGTGGAGGTCCCCATGCTGAGGACAGTGGGGTGAGCAGCTGAGCCAGTGCCCTGGCTGCTCAGGGTGAGTTCATGGGGTTCGGTTCTTTCAGTCTGGGGAGGTTTAAAGCTAACAGGAAATTTAAATCCCTGGAAAGCCGGGTCCAGGAAGTGGGGCTGCATCTTCGCCACGGGCTTGGCGAGCTGGGGGCTGGGGCTTTTCCACGTTGACCTAAAGCACGTCCCAGAGCGCTTGCAGCTGAGCCGAGGTGTGCCGGAGCGTGTGGGGCTCTCACCCAGCGGGTGCGGAGCCCTCCTCTGCTTCTTGGAGCAGGGAACACAGGTGTGCATCCTTCCCTGAGCGCCCCGACTTCTGCCGACAGGAGCTTGTGTTTCTGGGCTTCATTCTTTTCTCTGTGTTGAAGAATTTCAAAATGGTTGTGCCAGACACTCAGACTAAGGGCTTGGCCCAAGTTCCTCTCACAGCTCCTGTCGAGAGCCTCATGCCATTTCCTGGTCACAGGGTTTAACTGGGGAGCAGGTGTGGAGTGGGCACCCACCACCTTGGCCTCAGCGGCTCAGAGGTGAACCTCTGACCCTGTGGGCATTGGCCCCACTGTACGCACACACTGGATTGCTCAGAGCCAGAGCGGCTCTAAAGAAACTGCTGTGGGTCGCCGGGGGAGGGGGGGGTGTTCAGCCAATAGAGCAGGATGGGGGAGCCTCAAGGTGCCCTGTGGACCACTGGCAGCTGGTGTGTGTCGTGCACCTTGAGATTGGTTCACAAGTGGCCCTGGCCTTGCAGTGGATGCCACAGGCAGGATGAGTGTCTTTCTTTTCCTCTGCCTGCAGCGGGCGTGTGCGTTGCCTCAGAACCAAAGGAGGACCAGGTGCATTTCCTGGTGCTGACGGACATCTGCGGGAACAGAACCTACGGCGTGGTTGCCCAGTACTATCGGCCCCTGCACGTAGGTGCCCACTCCTTCCTGTGGGTCTTTGTGGTGAAGGACACATGATCATGTTAAAGTGCACAGCGCAGTGACCCAGTGTTCACGGTACCCGGTGCTCACGGTACCCAGTGTTCAGGGTACCCTGCGACCACTGTCTGGTTCCAGACGCTGTCCATCCCCCAGGCCCCTGCCTGCTCAGCCCTCACTGCCCACTTGCCCTCTGCCAGGCCTGGCGCCCCCTCTGCCTTCTGTCTCTCTGGGTGTGTCACATACCAGGAGTCATGTGCCACCAGGGGGCCTGTGTGTCTGGTGTCTCCTGGTGGCAGGACGGCCTTGAGGGCCACCCACACTATGGCCTATGTCAGTGCCTCATTCCTTTTATCCATTTCCCTGGGTGGTCCTCACTTATCTGCTGATGGACATGTGTCCTTCCGCCTGCTGAGCAATCTGCCTGGTGTGGGTCTTGCGCATGCCTCATTCCTCTGTGGAGGTGGCCGGGCTAGGCTCCGCATGGGCATCAGCTGGCCTTGGGAAGCTCGGAGGGCAACAGCGCTCCTTCATGCTTCCGGGCCCCTGTCCCCAGCAGACCCTGCCAGCCCCAGGGCAGGTGGGCGTCTTACTCTCGCACTTCCGCGGCGAAGGGCCAGCTTGAGTTCTGGAGTCCCTGCAGTGGACAGGGCTGCCTGGACACAGCTCCCTGGGCCCCCAGAGGCCAGGGGGGTGCTCCTCTCTGGGTCCCATCACTCTTCCACCAAGACTATGTCCAGGCGTCTGGAGCACAAGGTATCATCAGACAGACTCTGCCCCTGTTTGCTCCTGGGCAGTGCTGACGAGAGGAACTTCAGGGTGACCCCTGCCTCTTTCTGACTGCCACAGCAACTACAGCCCCCGTGTGTGAATGGCCAGCCCCAAGCACCCTGTGTGGTTCACTTAAACTTTACCCAGTGAGCAAGAGTAGAAATGTTAGCATCAGCCCCACTTTATCGACAAAATGGTGTCACAGACAGGTTAAGTTACTTTCCTGAGGTCACACAGCCATGAGGGTTTGAATGGGGGCCACTCCACCCTAAGGCAGTGGACATTCATTGAGTGTTGGTGGATAAACAAATGACGGCTGTCTTCTGGCTTCTTCTTTGCTTAGATATCTTGTAAGTAGCTCAAATTAGAAAAGAACGCACCCTGAAGCTATCATCATGTCCCTCCATCCCTACATAAAATAAAAAATAAAATCCCCAAACAAACTACCCTCCCACAGGGCCCAGCTGGTGAGCCCCGATCTTGTGCCACTTGGGTCTCACTGAGAGCGGCTCCTTGGAGGGAGGGCCTGCGTGAGCCCCTGCCTCTCGCCAGGCTCCCGCACGTGCCCATGCTGCTTCCCACTGGGTCTTCTAAGCAGGGCCTGGTCCCAGGGGTTCTGTAGTGTTCCAACAGGTGTCCTCATCCTGAGGCACAGGCTTCTCCAGGGTGGGCACAAGTCTCATTGAGGTGGCCCCAGCCCCTGGGGAGGTTCACCGTCCCCTGAGGGCCCGAGGACGTCGGCGTGGGAGGTGACAGTCACCATCCCCGTGCTCTTCCCCTAGGATGAGGTGACAGTCACCATCCCGTGCTCTTCCCCTAGGATGAGTATTGCTTCTACAACGGCAAGGCCCACCGGGAGCCGTCCGGGCCGCCCGCCAGCGCTGCCGGCTGCTTCGTGCCCTTTGCGGTGTGCGTGGTCTCCAAGTTCCCCTACTACAACTCCCTCAAGGACTGCCTCTCCTGGTGAGCTGGTCTGCGGCCACCTGGCTGTCCCCTGAACCTGGGGCAGGGGCGTGGCTGGCCCTCGGGGGTGGGAAAACGAGTGGGGGACTGGTGGGCGCGGGCTGAAGGTGACCCCAAACTGCTGAAGGGAGTTGATGTGGAGGGTTTTATTTTGTGTTTTGAAAGACGGGTCTCAGGCAAAGCTCTTTTCCTAGTGATTGGAGGAGACCAGGGGCTGCTCCTTGATGTGGCCTTTTAAAAACTGGCCTTTTTGGCTGGACTCTGTACCGTCTTGCTGCTGCTGTTGAGCGGCAAGTCTTAGGACGTGAGGAATTTCCGAGAAGCCGGGAGGCGTTTTGCAGGACCTGGCGGATTCCCGTTGTCCGAGGGTGTCATTGTGATGTGGGAGGCTGTGCCCCTGAGTTTGGACCGCGTCAGTCCCCAGGCCCAGGAGTACAGAGCCATTTGCTTTCGAGTGATGAAGTCACACCTTGGAACCTGTGCTTTGATCAAAGCCTGAACGAGGACAGTCAGAGGAGGCCCCTTGTGTTGTGACCACGAAGGGCCATCCGTGGCAGGTCCCTGGCGTCAGACCCTGCGCCTTGACCACAGGGAGTGGCCAGCAGCCCAGTGGCTGAGCAGGAATCTTTTTTTTTTTTTTTTTGGACACAATGTCTATTAATTTATTTTTATGTGGTGCCAGAATCGAACCCAGTGCCTCACATGTGCGAGGCGAGCGCTCTGCACTGAGCCCCAGCCCAGCCCTGAGCAGGAATCCTACGGTTCAGATTCACAGAATCCATAGTTTAAATTCCAGCACTTTCACGTCTTGCTTTCTAAAATATAGCTGGGTTTCGAACAAGTTCAAAACACAGTCTAGCCCCCTAATATTGCCGTCAACATGAAGCACTCCGTGGGGCGTAGAACTAATGGCCTCAGTGAGTTGAGCAAGTGCAGGTCGTGGGCAGTGAGGCGGGCACCGGCTGATAACCTGCGTCCCTGAAGGTGAACCCTTCTTCACGGGCTCCAGTGTCCTCCTCTCTAAAGCGGGGTCTGTTTTCTCCCAAGTCCTGCCCATTTATTCCCCCTGCCCTGTGGGTGATTGGCAGCCCTGCCCTCCTGGTGGGCATGAAGGCAAACATGTAATGAAAGTTCCTATCTCTGGGTGGTGGTCGCTGGGCTTGGAACCGGGCTGCACAGCTGATGCGGGGACCAGACTCTGGGCCTCTAGCTGGGCAGCTCAATTTGTATTTCAAGTGACCTCTTCCTCTGTTAGCTGTTCATATGCAAAGGAGCCGCCTCGCTGTGCTCTTGGGAGGGAAGCACTCCTTGTGTGATCATGGGCAGTTTTTTTTTTTTCTTTTTAAACTTTTTGTTAACACTCTTAGATATTTTACAATAAGTGAAAATGCGGAGGAACATTGAATTATCTCCAAATCCTGGTGCTGCCCCTGTGAATAATCATTCTGGATTTGCTGGGTGTCTCAGTCAGCTCTCTCACTGCTGAGGATCTGACCAGAACAATTAATTGTAGAGGAGGAGAAGTTTATTTGAGGGCTCAGGGTTTCAGAGGTCTCCCTCCACAGAAGGCCGGCTCCATTTCTCCAGGATTGAGGTGAGGCTGAGCATGGTGGCTGAAGAGGGCGGCAGAGGGAAGCAGCTCACACCACGGTGACCAAGAAGCAGAGAGACGTCACTCTCCAAATACAAATATATACCCCAAAGCCATGCCTCATTCCCACCTCCTCTAGCCACACCCTGCCATTTCGGTCACCCTGGGAGTTAATCCCTGTCAGAGGATTAATTCACTGATTGGGTTAAGACTCACAACCCACTCATTTCTCCTCGAACCTTCTTGCATCGTCTCACACGTGAGCTTTTGAGGGACACCACAGCTAAACCGTCATGCTGGCCACGTAGCAGTCTCACACCATGGGATGAATGTCCAGGCCCACCATGGGGAATGCAGGCCGTGGTGTCCTTCCTGAGTCACTACCCCACCAGGTGGGACCCCTTCAGACACTGTCATCCCACAGCCAGCCCGGGACACTCAGTGGTGGCCTCCATGCCTCATGTGGTTCCCAGCCAGGGTCATCCTTGCTCCCGGTCAGACTGTCTTCTTCAGGACCAGGTTGTCCCTGACTTGGGCCCACGGATCTGTCCACTGGAACATTTGTCAGACGACGTGCTCCCTGAGTGCCCAGGGAGGCCCTGCCTCCTGCCTGGTGTTGTGTCCCTGATCTGTGCTGTCACCTGCATGCCTGGGCGGCTGCATCCACTGGGAAGGGCTGGGGCTGAGGCTCAGCGGTAGAGCGCTCGCCCAGCACACGCGAGGCCCTGGGTTTGATCCTCAGCACCACATAAAAATAAATAAAGTAAATGTATTGTGTCCAACTACAGCTAAAAGATGAATATTAAGAACCCGTTTGGGGAGAAGTGTCTGCCCTGAACGTGTGCGGATGCCCCGTCTCAGTCCCAGACCAGTTGACGCCCACGTTCCCGGGGTCAGGTTTGGGAGGGAGCTAAGAGGACAGAGGGCAGGGAGGCCTGGGCTCTCTGCAGGTGTGGTCCTTGTCTATAAGGACCTGGGCCTCTGCAGGGCTCTCGGATGAGGCCTCTCAGATACCAACAATTGCACTTTTACACGTGAAGTTCTAAAGGTCAGCCTTTCGGCAAATGTGCACGCATACTGCGTGACCCCCACTGTGACGACAGGAGTCTTCTCACTCCCCAAAAGTTGACGTGGCCTCTGTGGTCAGAACCTAGTCCCCCTGCCCCAGGTGACCACTTGCCTGTTGTGTACACATGTTCCTGTAAATATATGAAATCGATACATACTCATACGTATGTGTGTTGCCTTACCACCGAGCCACACCCCAGCCCTTTTTATTTTTCATTTTGAGACGGGGGTCTTGCTGAGTTGTTCAGGGTCTCACTAAGTTGCTGAGGCTGGCCTTGAACTTGTAATCCTCCTGCCTCGGCCTCTCGAGACACTGGGATCACATGTGTGTGCCCCCATGCCTGGGGGCTCATTGTTTTGGAATCACATTTTTAAATAAAGTTAGAATGCATTTTGGAAACAAGTGTTCTGAAGCACTTTCTTTCAAAGTGCTGTTGGTTCTTTATTTCTTACTGATGTGTAACATACATGCAGAAAAATACACAATTCCAACTGTTTTTCACAAATTGAGCACAACCCAAGAACCAGAGCACGGTAAGGCCTGCCCCCAGCCCGTTCCAGGCAGCCCCACAGCCCCCCATAACTTGGGGAAGCTCTGGAATTGCCCAGGACACCCTGAAGGAGACCCGCTGATTGGAAAAGCCGAGGATGACAGCCACTTGGTTTCTGTTTTTCAGCTTATTGACTCATTTGAAGCTCTGTAAGGATTTTGAAGTTGACAATCACATAAAAGATTTTGCTGCGAGACTGTCCCTGATTCCTACTCCACCACCTGGACCACTCCATTTGGCAAGTTGAATCTGGAATTTAATTACTTTTTTTTCTTGGCAAACAGTGAAATTGATATGCTGATGTTCTCAGGTTTCTGCTGCGTTTCCCGTGTGGGCACGCGGTCCTTCTAGAGTGTTCTCTGTGTCTTCTCCAAGGTTGGAAGGGGAATGTCTAGGCGGGCGTTGGCCAGCACCTCAGGAGCACAGCTGGTCAGGTGTCCTGGGGAACCGCAGCGCTCACCTGTTGGCTCACTTCTTGCGGTGCAGAAAATAGACACCCCGGCCTTTCACTAGAAGAATTCACGTAAATTAGCAATTCTCCTTTTGTTTATTTGTCTTAAACAATGGCTATGGTGTTTGGGTATGTTCTCCTGTCTGATAACTGGTTTGATGTTTGTTATTCTTGGAAGTGCCACTGGATCATCGAATTAATAGACAAACTTTTCCCACGCCGGGTTCTGTTTGGGGAAGTGTCGCGGGCTGCCCCACAGCGCAGGGCCTTTGGGTGAGGTCAGGCTGGAGAAGTGGAGAAGGCCCACGTTCCCCTTTTGTTGAGTAACAACAAACCGCTGAGCTAGAGGAGGGCCCTGTGACTGCACATTTTCCACACCTACTTCCTGTGCTTCTTTTTTTTTTTTCTTTTTGAACCTATTGAACATCTTGAATGTTTAGTGCATGTCAAGTTGAGTTTGACTTTAGTAGTCCCTTCTAGAAGATCATACATACACATCTTGCTCCTGTACTTAAAAAAAATTATTATAGCTATTAAAAAATGAATTTTTCTTATCAGGGAGACATGCGATCCTGACTTAAGATATGTGGTCTTTTTTTTTTTTTTTTTGGTACCAGGGTTTGAACTCAGGAGCACTCACCCACTGAGCCCCATCCCCAGCCCTATTTGTATTTTATTTAGAGACAGGGTCTCACTGAGTTGCTTAGCGCCCCGCTGTTGCTGAGGCTGCTTTGAACTCGCCATCCTCCTGCCTCAACCTTCCTCGCTGCTGGGATGACAGGCGTGTGTCTGGTTAAAATGTGTTTTTAATATTACTCCAAACCGAGCCGTCTGCGGGTGGAAGGTCCGGCCGGTGCATTCCAGCGCAGGTGCTGAGCAGGAGTCCTCCCTCCCCCTGGACCCACAGGGCAGAGCAGCTTCATTCTGTGGGTGCAGGCTGAGGACCCCTTATCTGAAGGGCAGGGCTGAAGCATTTTAGATCTGCCTGTTTCATGAGGGGTCTTGTGGATGGGACCCGTCTGAGCGTGGATCCATGTGTGTCTCGGGCACTGCACACACCTGGCCCAGGTGTTTTCACGCCGTGTTTTTGGTGTGCCCGGGGTTGGCCGCAGCCTGTCCCACCTGTGGTGTCACACCAGTGCTCAGAAAGTTCCGGGCTTTGGAGGGTCTGACCTGGACGGTGGTCTGCTGTAGGTGGAGTGCTCTTGCCCAGTCGTGGAGTCCTGTGAGCTCAGCGGTGCCGGGTGAGGTCTGGAGTGGTGACGGTGGCCTGTCACCTGCTGTGCCTTGAAGCTCAGCAGCACCCGCCTGGTGTCCACAGAGTGTCCGTGTTGTGGCCTTGGTCTGTTGCATCTGCGCTGCGCTCCCCATTGTGCTCAATCCTCCCTGTGTCCTCTTGTCCAGCTGCCACTCATGCCCAGCGGGCCACCTTTGATGCTCACTTGCCCTTTGGCCACGCTCCTGCCAGCACCACCTGCCAGCCAGCCGGTCCCCGTCTGAGATCTGGGAAGCCCTGGTCTGCCCGCTTCACCTCATCCCGACCCTGCATCTCACCCTCTGCACTGGGTGCCGACACCTGGTGCTGGAGATGCGTCCATCTTCCTCCCAGCAGTGAAGCCCCTTCCAGAGGGGTCATACCTCCTCCTCTCGCGGCCTCCCACCCCCACAGGGCCTTTGACTCTCAGAGAGCATTCTGTGAAGGGAAGCGTTATTTCTAAATAATGTCATTTAGAAAAACAATAGACTTTCTTAAATTTTCTGAATCAAGTCTTCAGGAGTCTTTACTATTAATTGGAAGATGCTGAGAATACATAAGAGGCACAAGAACAGCTCATACCCAAGATGCCTGACAAGCTGGGTTCAGCGTTTGTGCGCAGCGGAGCTGAGTTTTGGGTTTTGGTTTATCTTCGTCTTGGCAGGGGCCAGGTTGTGATTGACAGCTGAAGGGAGCTCGCTGACTTAGAAAAGGTCATGAGGACTTGTTTGTGTGAGCCTCAGGGCACTTGTGAGGGCCTCTGGACCAGTGTGTTATTCTGTGACATACGTGACGTGGTGACTCGAGTCTTCCAACCTGGTTTCTTTTCTTTTTTTTTTTTAAGAGAGAGTGAGAGAAGAGAGGGAGAGAGAGAGAGAATTTTAATATTTATTTTTTAGTTTTCGGCGGACACAACATCTTTGTTTGTATGTGGTGCTGAGGAGCGAACCCGGGCCGCACGCATGCCAGGCGAGCGCGCTACCGCATGAGCCACATCCCCAGCCCCCAAAGTGGTTTCTAACTCAGGTGTTTTCTACACCAAAATGGTGCACTTCAGCCTTGCCAGGAGCCACCGTCTGAACCTCCTGTGGTCCTTGGCCATCACAGGTGTTCAACATGAAGCCCCTGCATGTCGTGTTCCCCTCCCGAGCTGACCCCCAGAGCCCTGTCATCGACCTGGACCTTCACCTGCCCTTGCTGTGCTTCTCACCCGAGAAGGTGCTGCAGGTAAGTGGCTCAGGCACCTCTGCCAGGTGGCATCATGGCATCAAAAGTGTTGCTTGCCAGAGGTGGTGAGAAGCCAGTCCCAGCAGAGGGCCGGCTGCTCCTGGCGTCCGTCCGTCTGCTCAGAGCCGGCTTCCCAGGGGCATGTGTCTGCAGACAGTGCTTTCCGTGGGATCTCTGGTCTCCTTGGTTTGGGTAGTGGACAGGAGATCAGGGAGAGGCCTGGACTGTGTCTGCCCGGTGGCCGTGCACAGCTGTCTCAGGTGTTCTGAGCCCGTCAGGAGCGTAGACGGACCTGACTCTCCCCCAGATCCTGACCTGCATCTTGACGGAGCAGCGGATTGTGTTCTTCTCCTCCAATTGGGCTCTGCTGACGCTCATCGCCGAGTGCTTCATGGTCTACCTGCACCCTCTGCAGTGGCAGCACACCTTTGTGCCCATCCTGTCGGCTCAGATGCTGGATTTTATCATGGCACCTACGTCCTTTCTCATGGGCTGCCACCTGGACCACTTTGAAGAAGTCAGCAAGGTCAGGTATAGTGGGTCCGATTTGGAGCGTGAGGTTCTTGGGCGTCCCCTGAGGGAGTCCTGGGAAGTTGCATTTGGTGGTGTCTTGTGCTTGGGGTGCACAGGCCTGGGTTCAGTCCCAGCATCAGGAAAGGGAAAGCATGAACAGATGGAGGACACAGGAGGGCGCTCTGGGGGGGGGAGCCCGCATGCCGAGGCTCCTGTGCTGCGGGCCACACGCGCCGTGCACCTTCCTGTGTGTAGCGGCAGTGCGCTCCCCCTCAGCCTGTGAACACCACTGCCCCAGGGGCTTCCCCTCTCATAGGCTCCAGCTGCCCAGCGGGCCCCAGTGAGGCGAGCGCAGGCGTTGGGTCAGGGGAACCCAATTTCAAGCCTCGCCTCCCCCCACTCCACACCCTCGGGGAAGTTCCTTGCTTTGCTGAGCCTCAGTTTCCTCCTCTGAGTGGGGCAGGACACATCCTGTGAGCAGGGTTCAGAGCTGAGGCAGACCCCAGCACCGCACGTGCAGCTCTGTGGTCACCACGATGGACTTCCTAGTTAGTTTTGAATCCTGCCTTTGTGAGCATTGGTACCGCGGACCCTCTTCCTGGAAGAACGCATGGCAGTGTGGTGTGCGCTCGCGGTTCCGCAGGGTCTGGGCCTGGCTTAATCCAGGGGCTGTTTGTTCTGTGACCCTTGGGGAGCGCCGAGCCTCCTCTCCTGGTCAGGAGGCCGTGGTGAGCTTCCTTGCTGTGGGGCAGGGGTCCAGGGAGGCCGGGGGACGGCACCTGCCCACGGGGGTGCTGATCACAGCATGCTGACTGCAGAGGGAGCATGTCCAGTGGTGAGCTGTGGTAGACGGTGGGGACGCTGCGCAGGTGCCAGCAGGCAGCAGCCCAGGGATCTGGTTAGCGGGGGGCAGTTATGTGCCACAAAGGCCACTTGGTTCACATCCAAAGGCCAGTGGCTTTCCCATACTCATGGAGTCGTGCAGCCTTCGTTGTCCAGTTCAGATGGCTCACCACCTGCCAAGAGGCCCATGATGCTCCCCCACTGCCTCCCTCCTGCCCTGGCAGTGCCCTGTGTGGCTGGCCTGCTGTCAGGGCGTCCGTGTGGGTCCCGGCCTCCTTCACTTAGTGTTCCTCCAGGCACGTCCTTGTCGTGGCCTCCGGCAGCACTGTGCCCTTGGTGTTGAGGAGGGTCCCTTGTGCTGTGTTTGCTAGCGCTGATGGAGAGCTTCCAGTCAGAGGGCACTTGCTGGGCGTCTGCGTGGCGCCTGCTGCTGGGACGTGGTAGATGGGGAGAGCACTGCTGTGTGGCCGCAGGCCCAGGTTCTGGCGAATGCCAGCTTTGCTGCCCCTGGGCCCGTTCCCAGGAGTGGGCTTGCCCTGTGGGGGACAGTGGTGTTAGCCGGGTGGGCGCAGCTGCCCCGGGTGCGTTCCCACAGCGAGCAGAAGGTTCCGGGTTCTCCTCCCGTCTGTTGGATCCTGGCCCTCCTGGGGGTGAACAGGCAGCCCGTGGTCCGGTTGGGCATGTGTCCGCAGGGCTGGCGGCAGGCTCTCTGCAGCCCTTTGGGGTGCGTCCTGGCAGGCAGTCGTACGGGGTAGGTCTGCATCTGACTTTTTGTCTAGGAAACTGTACAAGGTTGCTGCTCCTGGCATCGTCCAGAGGCTGCTGTCAGCCTGTCCCCTGTCCCCCTGGTTCCTGGAGGCTAAAGCAAATCTCTGCCCCCAGGCGCTTCACCCAAGGTGAAGGAGCACTGGTCCCTCCTTCAAGGGGCGCACATTCCTGTGTTCATGCCAACGCCCGTGAGTCACGGGGAAAACACGCGGTAGGAAGAGGCCAGTTAGAGTGGGGAGAAACGGAACCGTGTCACTGGTGGCCCTCGGGAGGAGAGCAGACAGGCCATGCTCTGAAGGTTAGGTTGTGCTTCTGTTTTTAGTCACTGGGAAAGTCCCTCTTGTTCCTGCTCTGGAGGAGGGACACTGCTTGGCACCTAAGTGGTGCTCTGGCCATCAGGTGTGTGGGAGCACAGTGGCAGCAGCCCACTGAGCGCGCCCAGGCTCCTCCGGGTGTGTTTCGTGCCCTCCCCCCACAGGCTCCTCAGGAGGGAGCTGGAGTGACCACAAGCACCCCTGTTTCCTGAGCACGCGCACCCCTCGCCAGCACCGCCAGCTCCCCGGGCAGCGCCGTGCGCCCTGGTCTTGAGTCCAGAGGACGCTGGTGTTTGCACATATTTCCTGTGCCACCTGGGCAGAGGCAGGCCCAGACTGAAAGGCACGCCACCTCCAGAGAGCTCAGGCGTCACCTTCTGGGACTAGACTCTCAGATCTCTGGCGCGGTTCACATAATTTGAGCATTTTGTCACAGATAAGACTTTACAAGTAACCTACGTACATGTCTGGGTGTGTCACTCAGCCCAGGACCCTGCCTGTGGTCCGGCTGGCACTCAGGGTCGGGCTGTGCTCCTGGAGGTCTGGAATGTTCCCCAGGACTCCATGCAGAAGCACTGCAGGGTCTGTACTGGGGCCCAGAGGGAAGCCATGTGGTCCTCATGCTGTGGGCACTCAGTGTGGCGGAGAAGGGGTTGTGACCGCGCTGCAGCCCAGCTGAGCCTGGAAGCACTGTGCAAAGTGACATGTGCCACTCCTGAGGACACCGTGTGTCCATGTGTCTGGAGCCCTTTGAGTAGCCAGAGGTGGAGCAGCAGACAGGGCCATGGAGTGCGGGATGACGGGAGGCAGGATGGGGAGCTGTGTTGACGGGTTGCGGGGCGTCAGTCCGGGAGAGCGAGCAAGCCCTGGGGATGGACGGTGGTGGCGCCACGACCCTGGCGTGATGCGCACTGTGGGACTGCGCTCCTGAGGACGGGTGTCTACGGGGAGCACGGCCAGCAGACCCAGCCACTGCGCTACTCTTGGCACCACCACCTGCTCCCAGGGTAGTGGAGGTTGTGCCTGTGTCCACAGGGTCGTCCAGAGGACACCATCCTAGCTAATGCAAACTGTGTTCGTGTGTGTATAAAGGAGCATTCAGATTAAAAGACCCCATGTTCCTTCTAGGAAGCTGACGGCTTGGTTCTGATAGATATTGATCACGGGAGCGTCACCTGCTCCAAGTCCTCTGAGTGTGACGTGGACATTCCCGACATCCCTCTCCTGGCGGCACAGACGTTTGTTCAGAGGTAACAGGAAACAGCATGTGTGTGAGAACATCTTTGACACATTACGTATTTGCTACTTTGAGTATCTTTTCCAGTTTTATATTGCTGACAGATGTTTTATATATTTAGAGTTTGGAAATTATTTATAAGTATTTAAAAATACAAATGGTTTGTCTTTATTCTAATCTTGTCTAAATACTAATTACAGCCCAACAGTGATGGGACAGTCACATCCCCTGCAAAGCACTCCACCCCTCTCTGTACTGTGTCTCAGGTCCTATCTGTGCCTAACTCTAACCCTAACCTCTAACCCTAACCGTAACCCCCTAACCCTAACCCCCTAACCCTAACCCCAACCCTACCACTAACCCCTAACCTAACCTTAACCCCTAACCCTACCCCTAACCACCCCTAACCCTAACCCTAACTCCAACCCTAACCCCAACCCTAACCCAACCCTAACCCAACGCTGGAGATCCTTCTTGGTCCATTCAGTCATGAATACTGGAACTAGGCAGGATCTGTGTGCTAGTGACAGACAGTGTGGGCCTCGGCCCTCTGACAGCATCCAGTGGATGTGGAGGGCCAGCGTCCAGTGCTCCTGAGCACCTTTCCCTTGGGGGTTTCATACAAGGGCAGCAGGAGACATACTGCTTTCAGACCTATGGGCCGTGGAGGTGGCCCTGAGGGTGTAGGGACGGTGAGTGACACAGCAGCTGCTCTCTGGCCTCGTGACAACTAGCTGGGCTGTCCTGGGGTCTGCTGCAGCTGAGCTGTGGCTGTATCTGGGTCACTGGGGACCCACCGGCTTTCTGCCATTTTCTGGGGATCAGAGGACGGGGGCTGAGCTGGGAGCAGGACAGAGGTGCCTCTACCTGGGAGCTGGACGCCCTTTCTGCCTGGAGGGTGTCTCAGAGTCCAGGTGGAGCCTTCCCAACCCAGACCCTTGAAATCTGAGCTGTTTCCAAGTCCAAAACCACAGTGGAAAAGCCCTCCTCTGACCTTACGTGACAGGTCACAATCAAAACAGTTTCACTGAAAATATTGTCAACGTACCCTCAGTCCATGAGCAAGGTGCATATGAAACATAAATAAATGTCCTGTTTAGACCTCGTCTCATCCCAGTGTGTCTCATGATGTTCATGCAAATATTCCAACTCTGAAACTTGTGGGCCAAAGCACTTTCCCCTTGTGCTGGGGATCGACCTAGGCCTCAGGCGTGCTGGGCCGTGCCTACCTCTGAGCTGCATCCCCAGCCCACGTGCACTGGATCAGGGACACTTGATCTGTGCTGACCACACCTCTGTTACCACTGCTGCCGTCTTAAGCAGCAAGGAGACTTGCCCCCCAAGACCGGGAGCTTGGCCATTTGTCCTCCAGCTGTGTGGGTGGAGCTGCCTAAGGCGCCTGGAGGTTGTGCCTCAGGGACCTGAGTTCTCCCTTGGGAATGAACCCGCCCCCACTCCACAGGGACCTGGAAGGCAACACTTGTCCCCTTTACTTTCTGATAAGCAGGCGCTGCTCCCCTGACCTTGCCAGGTCTTAGAACTTCTCAGGGGTGTGCTTGGCCAGGATCCTGCCCACGTCGGCATTGCTGGATTCCAGAAGAGAGACGCATGCCCTGCGAGGGGTGGTTATAAGCATGAACTGACTGGAGCGCACTGGGATGCCTGTGCTCCGAGCCTCGAAGCCTGTAGCCAGGCTGCAGTGGGGTCCCCCCGTGGGGTCCCATATGGGGAGTGCATCCACTGGTAAAGAAGGAACGAGGGCCGGTGGCCCCTCTTCCAGTCCCCCAGAAACCCTGGGCGCCGCAGTTCCTCATGGCCTCTGTGCGGCCGCCAGCCCCTCCTAGGCAAGGATGGGGATCCTGCTCGGCGTGTGGATGGCAGGGAAGGTGCATCCTGGGGAGGCGGCCGGTGGCCTTTTTCCCCGGGTGCAGGTGGGCTTGCAGCAGGAAGTAGGGGAGCACAGGCGCCACTGTGGCAGTGAGGCTCTTCCCGGATGCCCTGGTGTTGCCTTCCCTGCCGGCTGCCTGTCTGTTCTGCTAGGTGAAGTGTAGGTCGATGCCCAGGAGCAGCAACATTGCAGGGCGGTCACCTGACATCTGATGGGTCAGACTGGCCAGGGATGGACAGCTGCCTCGGAGGCAGCTTCTTGGCACAGAGGGAGTGAGCCCAAAGCCCCACCCAGTCCTGCACCAGCCCTCCCGGTCCCTCGGACCTGGCTTTGCAGCCTGGCCCCAGGCCGGAGCCATGCAGGGCCAGCAAACCCACTGGCCCACAGAGGGCCCGGGCAGTTGAGAGCCCTTCCCTGGCGCCCCTCCTGCTCCTGTGCTTGAGTCTCACCTCTCATCTTGCAGGTTCACGATCGTCTTGTGGGGTCACTCTGCCCCTCTAACTTGCTCTGAGGCCGGCCCGTCATGACTGGCATCTCTCCGCCCCTCCTGTTTGTGGTGGTTTTATCCGTTTCCTCCCACGTGAAGCTCTGTGCAAGCAGGGTTTGCTGTGGTTGGCGCTCAGAGCCATGCCTGGCACACAGTAGGTGTTCCAGGGGTCTCTGCCAAGCACGTCTGTGCCAGCTGTTGATTTTACATGTTTAAAACCACAGACATTCTGGTTGATGGCCAGAGTCCTCTCAATACATCCCAGAGTGGTGTTGGGAGGGCCAGGACCTGTGTTTAATGGCGGCTTGGGGTAGACAGAGTAACTGAGTCCCTACCCTTAGTGAAGACCTGAAGATGAGCCAGTGGCCCTTCCTTGGTGGTCCAAGGGAGGTGACGGGGAGTGCTGGGTGCAGGCGCAGGGCCACTGGAGCTGCCTGGTAGGGAGGCCGAGAGGAGCCACGGGGGGCCGTGCCTGCGCCTGCTGTGCCCTGCCCGGCCTGTCAGGGGCAGCCCAACAGGAAGCCCTGTGGTGTCCTGAAATGGGCGGGCCCTGCGGGGCAGTGCCTGGGATGTGAAGGAGCGGGCTGGGATTCAGATGTGTGGGGTCAGAGCCAGGGCTTGGTGTGGTGGTGCTCGGAGGTGAATGCTCTCCTGGGCTCTGTGTTTTTGATGATCCGCCCGCCCCCAGAGGTTTTGCCAGGCACGCCCAACATCTGACGTGTCCCTCTGCCTGGTGACAGCTGGTACGCTCAGCCGTGCAGCCGTGTCTGCTTCCTCCCAGGGTCCAGAACCTCCGGCTGCACCCCGAGCTGCACCTTGCCCACCTGGGCTCCAGCACAGACCTGAACGAGGGCCGAGCCCGCAGGCGAGCCTGGCAGCAGACACTCAACTGCCAGATCCAGCACAGCGCCCTGCAGCTGCTCGTCGGCATCTTCAGGTATCTAGCGGCCGTTTCCAGCACCTGGGAGAGGGTAGCCATCCGGCCCTGGGCTTCCTGGTGACTGTGGCCCCTGAGCCCCAGGCACTGAGATCACTTGGCAGGCGTGAGAGGACTGCTCTGTGATCATCACCATGCGAGGGCTAGGGGCTTGGGTTGTCCTCCAGTCCTGCCTGGCCCTGTTTGTCCATCTCCCCTGTCAGTGGCCCCACGGAGGGCTGCCTCAGAGGTGTCCCCAGGGAGGTGGAGTCTGGTCCCACTGCTGGGAGAGCGGGTCGTGTGCTGGCCCAGGGCTGCCTGGGACGCCTGCACCGGGGAGGAGGGGCAGGTGGGCATTTCCGTCACACCTGTGAACCAGACAGCGACGCCACCCGCAGGGCGTCTGGGGATCTGGCCCTGGGGCCCTCTCTCCCGCGTTGGGTAGTTCCCACCGCAGACGCCCCTCGCCTGCTCTTGCTCCCTCGCATTTCTCTGCAGCTGGCCAAGTGGACGAGGATCGAGGGTTGGGGCTCGGCTTGCCCTCTCCGACCTGTTCGGGGCCGTTGAGGACTGGGGACTCTGGGACTTTCTGGGCCGGCCTTCCTGCCCCTCCTCCCCCGCCGCGCCCGTCCTCCGGCTGCTTCTCCCTGAGGAGCCAAGGGTGCCCACCGCTGGCTGGCGGGAGGGGCGGTGGGGCCACCGACTTGCCGTTCCCTGATTGCTTCAAAACCAAACCTGTCGTGGCCTTGTTCTGTACCTGTCTCTACTTACTGGAGCCAGAGACTGGTCAGGAGGGACGGAGAGCGGTCACGGGCAGGCTGCGTTGTCTCTGCTCCCAGGGCTGCATTAGCCAGGCCCTGGTTCTGCCCTTCTGCTCTGGAAGACAAAATGTTCTGTGGTCGCGGTGGTTGTCTTCTCTAAACCCAGGAGATTGATGATTTGATAAAGAAGCAAAACTGCAGTGAGAGAGGGTGAAGCCTGAGTCTCCCCACCCTGAGCCCGGCTGCTCCTGTCGCCCACCACCCGTCTCCTGGGCCCAGCCGCGGCTCCCTGCGGGTCTTTGCTCCCTGCTGCTCAGGGTGTGAGAACCCAGGAGGTCGCCACAAAGACCCACGCCACAAGAGCATGGGGGAGGCGGGGAAGGACACGGGGCGAGGAGAGGGCGCCCAGAGTACCTGATTCTCGTCTCAGGGAGGGGGACATGGGCAGGTGCTGGCGTGGCCGGGAGGCCGTCCATCCTGTTTGTGGACTGTACTTTAATGTGGGAGACCATATGGATTCACAGTCCCATGAGGAAGGCGGGCAGAGGGTGGGGACACCTGCCGGGACGTGCCTGGTGGCCAGCACTTGCCGAGGTGGCTGCTGGTGCCTTCCCTGTCCCCCAGGCTTCGCTGCAGCTGGGAGCAGTCCCGTCTGGCCCCACGCCGTGGGCACGCTCCTCTCGGGCTTCCGCCAACCTCTCGGAAGAGCAGTTTTCAAACAACTGCTGAAACCACTTGTTCCCACGTGGGGACCAAGCAGCAGGCTGTCCTTGTCTTTGTCAGGGAGGTGAAGGACCACGTGAATTACGAACACAGGGTGTTCAACAGCGACGAGTTCCTCAAGACGAGGGCCGCAGGGGAGCAGCACTTCTACAAGCAGGTGAGCCGCGTGGAGCAGGCTGGCTGGGCGTTCTTCCTGCTGTACTCTTCTGTTTCTAAACATTCTTCAGAATGGATGTTTTTCAAGGTGTTAATACTTCATGAAGTGTGTTGGGTTTTCTAAAAGGTTTTTTTCGGTATGGTTCCTTTTTGATGGCACTGGGGATTTAACCAAGAGTCGCTTAACCATGGAGCCACCTTCCCAGCCCTTTTTACTTTTTAAGACAGAGGCTTGCTAAGTTGCTTAGGGCCCTGCCAAGTTGCTGAGGCTGGCTTTGAACTTACAGTCCTCCTGCCTCAGCCTCGCGAGCTGCTAGGACTGCAGGTGTGCTCTACCACACCCAGCTCGGCATGGTTCCTTCCGATCCTTACGTTTTGGTCAGCTTTCAGAATATATTTTACACATGAAGATATACCCATTTTCAGTGTAGGTTTGGTGGACCGTGACAGATGTGCACACCTGTGTGACCACATCCTCAATCTGGAGGCCTCACACAGTCAGGTGCCCCTTCCCCACCACCTGCCCCTTCCCAGGCCCTGGGCAGCCTCCTTGCTGTCCCTGGGGGAGCTCTGGCTTTGGATACTGCTGTGCCACTGTGCACCAGCTGAGCGCTGCCGGCCCCACCTGGCTTTGGAGGAGCAAGAAGTAAGCTGGGGATCATGGAGACGCGGGTGACACCGCGGAGAAGCCCAGAGCACACTGCCCCTCTGAACGCCACGGCCCGTCTCCTGGCACAGCCGCAGTCCCTGCTGCTCTCTGCTCTCCCCGCTCCTATGCGTTCCCAGTTTGCTCTGCTTTACGTGCGCCCTGGCCTCCTCTGCTCCTGTGCAGGCAGTGTGGCTCACGGCAGCTCTACGTGGCATGTGTGGGGGCCACTGTCACTGCCCTCTCTTTCCCCTGCTGCTCAGGGTCGTGAGAACCCACAAGGAGCGTGGGGGGAGGCGGAGAGGGACACGGGCTCCGAGGAGAGAGTGCCCACAGTGCCCAGCTCCGGGCCTGCTGCGCGGAGGTGCTGGCCCTGGCTGCACACTGGCCGTCTCTGCTGAGCTCTCGGCCCCCCCTTGTGCTCTGCTCCGAGGCCTTCCTGGTGTCCCGTGCCCTCAGGGTGAACTTGTGCCACTCAGCTGCAGGCTGGGCTACCAGGGCTGTGTGCAGGTCCTCAGCGGGCCAGGCGTGCATGCCCTGGCCCCGCTGTGTGGCCTGTTTCCTGTGTTTTCTGCCAACATTGTGCAGCTCAAGTCGCCTGCTTTTCCCTTTCTGGTCCTCAGTGTGGATCTGGGCCCCTTTCCCTCCTTTTCTGGCCAGGGCTCGGGGAAGCTGTGGACCTTCTAGCATCTTCCTCTAGGCCTCTTGCCCACATGTCACGGTCAGTGGCGAGCAGGTGTCCAGGTGGCAGCACAGGCCCCGATGTTGGAGGGTACCCTGCAAAGTGAGAATCCCACAGGTGTCAGCTCCTGAGCCAGGAGGAGGAGCCTGGTGGTAGCAGGTGTGGCAGGCAGTGTGTGTGGTGGGGGCACGGGGCTGGGGGGGCGAGGCCGGCCACTCACAGACGCCGCGGCACAGCTGTCGCAGTGGCCAGGCGGACTGGCCTTTGTGTTTCATGGTTTCTGGGTGCAGAGTGGCTGCTTACTTCCGAGGGGCAGGCGAGGAACTGAGGACGTGCTCGGCACAGGATGGCCTGGGCCGCTCCCTGTTCCAGGGACTTCTGTCTGGAGGAGCCTGTGCTGGACAGGTCCTGGTCCAGGGCTGCAGGCTCCAGGTGGAGGGGAGCAGATCCCCAGGCCCTTATGGGTGCCCTGTCTCGTCTGCCTCAGGTCTTGGACACCTACATGTTCCACTCTTTTCTAAAAGCTCGGCTCAACAGAACGATGGACGCCTTTGCTCAGATGGACCTCGACACCCAGTCTGAGGAGGACAGGTGCCTCATCCCTGCTTGGACACGGCTCTCTGGGCCTCCGAGTGCTAGGGTGGCATGGCTTCATTGGGACAGATAAGTGATAGGTTCACTGGGAAGAGTCTGCGTTTGGAAACCCACCCTTTCCATGTCACAATGTCCCTGCCACAGTGCTCTGAGCCCACTGGGCAGCAGCGCCCTGGTCTGCCTGTGCCGCTGCCCGCGGGCCTCTCCCCCTCCCCTTCCTCAGAGCCTGTTCTCTTCTCTGTCCATTCCTGCTGTTTCCTTGATCTTGAACATGCCTCAGCTGTGGGCGCTGCCCTCGCCCCTGACTGTGGGCCCTCCCGGGGCCAGATGCAGGTCACAGGCTGTCCCACACCGTCGCTGCACAGGAAGAGGGGCCTGTTCCTCAATCCTTACTGCGTCTGTAAAGCAAAGCCTCGCTTTCCCCCCAGAATAAGCGGGATGCTCGTCAGCCCAAGGAGACCGACGGTGCAGAAGATGGCCTCGCGGAGGCCCTCGCCCCTGGACATCACCCACAGGCGCATGGTGGTCAGCATGCCTGACCTGCAGGATATTACCCTGCCTGAGCCGCTGCCCAGGAACTTGTCCCTGCGGATATCAGACACCACAAGCTACAGAAGCAGCAGCGGCCCAGGTGGGGACCCTGCCCTCCCTGCGCCCCGCCTTCTCGCCTTGAGAAAACGAGGTCCACCTCCTGGGGAAGGGGAAGGGTCTTTTGGACTCTGAAGTCCAGCACAATCATCTGAATCCTCTCCGGAGGGTCCGCTTTGCGAGCCACATCTCTTGTGAAACATCCTCCAGAGCCCCTGCCAGAGTGGCATGCAGCTGGGTGTTGTCCACCTGTGTCCACCGTGTGGCTGCGTGTGCTCGAGTGCATGTGTGAGTGTGTGTCACATGCACTGTCTGATGGGAGACAATGCCTGTTGGCCCCTGGTGCCCAAGTACCAGGCATTTTCTAGGGACTGGGGTAAAGGACTGGCACCCCTGCCCATGCAGCGGGCAGTCTAGGGATGGTCCTCGAGACAAGGACAAGGACAGACACATGGTTTCAAGGTCAGGGTAAGAGCAGCAGGGCTGGGCAGCGGCCTGGCCTTATGCACTGCGTGCAGTGCGGGTGGGTGGGGAGATGGAGCTGTGGCTGGGGGACCGCTCCCCAGCAGAGGGACCGCGGAGCCTGCTCGGGGTCGTGAAGGTGAGCGTGCACGGCCGCGCAGCCTGGCGGTCCCTGGCACGCAGAGTGCCAGGGCAGCCTGGTGGGCACAGCTCGGCTCTGATTCCCACAGAGCTGTAGGAGTGCGTCACATACGATGCCACTCTTCACCCTCAGGTCTGTCCCCATGCTTCTGCAGGACGGAACCTCTGCTGTGCACAGTGTGGGGAGCCTGTCAGGGTCGGGCACCACCACTGCCCAGTGGGACCCTGGGGGCCTAGCTTGGGCCACGCCAGCAGGAGCCCTACGGTGCCTTGTGATGAGTGTGCAGAAGCCCAGGAAGCTGCACACGCAGCACCCTGCTGTGGCTCCCTGGGGTTGGTGTGGCCGAGGCACAGCATGTGAGGGAAGGGAGCACAGCCCTTCAGTGCTGAGCCTGGCAGCCAGCATGGGCATCTGAAGGCAGACTGCTGGGAGTGCCACTCAGCAGAGGGGCCGGCCTGTCCTGGCAAGGTGGCCTCTTGCCTCCTCCAGGTCCCCAGCCTGCCTGAGCTGCCCGGAGAAGAGGAGCCTGGGGTCTGGTCATGTTGGACCAGATGAACTTGGCGTGAGGCGCAGTTGGTTGGCCGTGTCCCTGGCACAGGAACCTGAGCTGCAGTGGGATCACAGTGCTCACTCCCAGAACTGTTCCCGTCACGGAAACGGTCCTGAGAAGGCTGGACCTGGGGCTGGGCGCTGGGCAGGCCTGTGTGAGCCCGAGTCCAGCCCCAGCACTAGGCTCCGCAGTTGGGCAGTCAGTTGTCCATAAGTGCCAGCTGCTGCTGTCCCTGGGCGCTCTGCAAGCAAGGCGAGGGGCCCTTGTGGGGACGCGTGCTTCACTCTGTGGCCCTGGGCTGCGTGCTCTCGGGACAGGTCTGGGTGACTCTTGTTTTCCCTTGGTCCTTAGTTCTGAATGTGGCCCCTAAGTGCACGTACACCTTCAAGATCCCAGAGGTGCACTTCCCGCTGGTGAGCCAGTGCGTGCAGGCCTACCACAGCGACTTCGTCAGCCTGCTGAGCAAGGCCATGGGCCTCCTGGCCCCCGACAACTCCGTGCTCCTGGCCAGATACTTCTACCTGCGTGGCCTTGTCCAGCTCATGCGGGGGCAGCTGCTGAGTGCCCTCTCGGATTTCCAGAACCTCTACAGGACGGACATCCGGATCTTCCCAGACGCCCTCGTCAGGGGCATGGTGGAGTCCATGTCAGTCCCTGAGCGCACCCAGGCCGAGCAGACGCCCGAGCTGAAGAGACTCATCACCCAGGTGCTGGACAAGCCGGGCGAGGCCCCCAAGGTGGACGACCCCGTGAAGCACTTCGAGCTGCCCAAGAAGCACATGCAGCTGGGCGACTTTGTGAAGAGGGTGCAGGAGTCTGGGATCGTGAAGGACACCAGTGTCATACACCGGCTGTTCGACGCACTGACCGTGGGTAAGGGGACCTCGCAGCGTCCGTGCAGGTGGCTGCATAGGCCCCTCTTAGCTGTGGGTTCTGCACCCACAGGTCCAACCAAGAACAGGTTGAAGTGTTAAAGGAGCTGCGTCTGCGGGCACCGGCCACCTGAACGGTGCAGGGCCGGCCGGAGCCCGCGGGTAGCCTCAGGTGTTAGAGTGACCCCGGGACTGGGTCTGTGGGCGGGTGTGGCAGGCACCTCGCCACGGCCTCTGTCTCGCGTGGGCAACTGTGGACTGGTTTGGGCAGGGGGTCCTGGATCCCCACCAAGACCAAGGGGGACTGGACTTAAGGACAGCAGGGGACAGTCACCGGACAGGCACCCGCCCGTGGCAGGTGAGAGCCGCAGGGTGACGGCGCACCCTGTGCTGGGCACATGCCAGGTGGGCAGGTTGGCGATGCCCTAGGCAGTGTTGCTCTTGCTCCATCTCGCCCTGGCCCTGCCTCCTGGGAGGCCCTTGGTGGTGGGAGGACACGGGCAGCTTCCCCACACTCCCTCGTCCCAGCCTTCGCCCGTTGGCTACACAACGGTGACTGTTGTACTGTGTCACACATAGCAGCGTGGGGACACAGTAGCGGACACAAGGCACCCCAGATTTGGGCGTGTCTTGCTGCCCGTTTCCTGCAGGGCCTCGCTTCTGAGGTCTGGGTGGGCCCCTGTGCACTCCCTGGCTCCCCCTACCCCAGGAGCACTGTCCCCATCTGAGACCTGCGCTCTCCTTGTTTGGTTCCTTGACCACGGACTGTGCGTGGAGCACTTGCACGCCCGTGTGGGTGTGCACTGTCCAGGAGTCACTCCGGCCCCTCCCCCGCGGCTCAGGCCTTCCTGTGCTGGCCCTCATCTTTCACTGCTGGCCCTGTGGCTTGGGAGGAGGCAGGCTGTCTGCATGTTGCCCTGGGGCAGGCGTCCAGTGGCACACACTGGACCACACTGACCCCAAGTGTCCTGTGGGTTGTTTCCTCTTAGACGTGTGCCCAGAAGCCTGTGCACCCTGTCCTGTGGGTTGGGGTGTGAGCGCCGGCACCCTGGCTGCGTGCTGCCCTGTGCCTCCTGAGGGATGCCTGCCCTAGGTGATGCTGTTACCTCCTGGCAGCGAGGGCTTGTCGGGGTCACCGGTGTTGCCCATGGTGCGTGAGATGGCCATGTGGGTGCGGCTTGTCCGCTCAGCTGCTGACCAACCCTCTGGTTCTTTTCGTGTTCTCTGCCTCGCGTGTGCGTGTGGGCCTTTCTTCCCCTTGCAGATGCGCAGCTGCCCTCTGTGCTCTGGAGAGGGTCTCCCTGCTGCGGGTGGGTTCGGCAGCGTGCCCTCCTGGTGACGGAACCTCTGTCCTGGCACCTCTGCAGGAAGGGCCAGCTGCTTGTGTGCTCTCCCAGTGGCCAAGCAACTGGACTGCCCAGTGGTCAGCGTGGCGCCCACAAGGCCAAGTGGGAGATACGGCAGCCCTCCAGGGGCAGTGCTCCGCCGGGCACCCTACAGGGTCTGTCCTGGGGCGTCTGTGGCTTTCTCCCCACAGGGGCCCAGCATGCCCGGGCTCCACCACCTGCAGCGGTCTCCCTGGAAGACGTCGCCTGCACGGGTGCAGGGTTCCCTGGCCACTCCTCCCTGAGCAGTGCAGTGGGGAGGTGACCTGCAGAGTCACACGGCCATGCAGTGGTCCGGGAGGCTTCGTCCTCGTGTGGGGTCCTGGAGCCCACCCCACATGGGAGGGTTGCCCTGGTCCCTTCAGGTGCTGTGTGCTGGGGACACTGAGGAAGGCCGCCCTGGCCGGGTTCCCACCAGGGAACCGTGTGATAGGAGGGAGGTGTGCGGTTGGTGGTCAGCTGCCCCGGGTGTGGCAGGCAGGGGAGGTGGACACAGCAGCGTGTGGAGGAGGACAGGAGGGGCGTGTGGGGCTCTGCTGGGGCTTTACGGGGTCCCAGAGGCCCTGGGTCTGGCTGGTGGAGGCCTGAACAGAAGCTGTAGGACCTGCCTGGTGACTGTCCCCAGCCACGGACTCCAGGTGACGGCTCCTCCCTCCGTGTCTTCAGGGCCGGGCTCCTCCCTCCCTGGCATGGCCCCGTTGCCAGTTACAGGGCGGCTGGACCCTGGCGGGAGAAGGCGGCCTGCCTGTCCCTCAGGCGTCTCCACCTCTTCCCCATGGGCAGCATCGGCAGGTCCTGTGGCCACCCAGCTGCTGGGACCTGGAAGGGCGTTCTGCAGCGGCTGTGGGCTGCCTGTGGCACAGGTGGGTGGTGTCGAGGAGGGCACTGGCAGGCCTGGGTAAGGACCAGGAGCCTCAGTGGCCCTGTCCCCTGGCCTGTTGGTGTCATGTATGCTGCGGATTGGGTGGTTCCTCAGGTTCTGCGTCCAGGAGCCTGACGCCCCCGGGTGGCGCTGCATGGAAGGGGCTTCAGCCAGGAGCTGGGCTGCAGACCGCACGCGCCAGAGCCAGTGCCCCGCCTGGGCAGCCCGGCAGGGGAGGCAGGCCTGGCTCTGACCTGACTTCTCCTGTGCCTGCGTCACACGTTTTCCTGGTACAGCGCCACCCTGTCCGCTGGCTCTCCTGGACACTGTGGGCTGCCTTCAGTTGCCTGTGCCTGACTGAGGGCTGGGGCTGGCTTGGGAGGAGCAGCTGTCTGCACGCCGCTGGAGGAGCTGGGGTGCGGCACCGTGTGACGGGAGGGAGATGTGCAGTTGGTATTTTTGTGCAAGATTGAGACACAAGGAATGTCATTGTGCCTGCATGTGTGCATGCAGTGACCGTGCCTCTGACCATCGCTGGGATGACACGTTGGCTGTGGACTGGGCTAGATGTGTGTGGTGTGGCGTCTCGTGTGGGCACAGGGGCTGTGGATGTGCCCCGCAGTGGCCAGTTCTGCTGAAGTGCTGGCGGTGGGTTGCAGTGAGGGGGCTTCAGGGTCCTTGTCCTTGCTTCTCCTACCCGGTGGGGCACGTCTGAGGCCCCGCCAATGTCTGCCTGTGTGAGAGTGCTCTTGGGTTTCGGTGACATGGCTCTGCCTGAGAGGGCTGGGCCGCAGCGCCCCGCCCAGGCTCCCTGCAACTCGCTTCCCTGGCAGTGGCTTTGCCTTTCACTGCGCTTCCCTCTCTTCCCGGCTTCTTGGGCTTTTCCTTGCTACTGCTCCACCTCGAGGCCTGTGTGGCGTCTGGGGGAGCAATAGGCGCTCCTGATGAACCCGGGCCCCAGTCCCCGCCCGGGAAGTCAGCCTGGGCTGCCCGGCCTTGTTCACCGAGTTCCTGAGGTGGAAGGGGGCTCTGGCCTGCGAGGGGCCCGTCCGCCTGCCAGGTCCTGTCCACGGGTGCACCTGGCACCCTTGTACTTGGTCTTCGGTGACTGCAGATGCCTGTATCTGAATCGTTTCGGTTTGGATTTAGTGATTTTAAAACTTAAAAAGAAAATAATGTTCAATCTTTGTAAACCACCCAGAAAATAGGGAAGGGAACGCAATAGCCCACAATGGCGCCACCTGGTGGAGATCCCGCAGAATCACCCCCTGCCGCCTGCCTGGGCTGCAGCCGTCCCTACCTGGAGGCAAGATGAAGTCTCTTACTGCACCTGTTACAGCCCCACCCTGGGTCACGGCCGTCCAGTGATTGCCGTGGTGAAGGCTCAGTTGTCCTGATACTGTGGGGATGAGTGCAGACAGCCATCACCTTGTGGAATCGGAGCAGGGACGGTGTCCAGCTGGGACTTGGCTCTGGGCCTCTGGCCAGGCTGGGGATGGGAGGACACAAATCCTACAGGTAGGCGGACCCACCCACTCAGGTGACAGCACAGCGGATGAGCCATCCCGGTCCTCAGGCCCGGCTGTGCCAGCGAGGACCTTGCCTCTGCATGCCTCACTTTCCTGGGTTGTGCGTGAGCCTGATGATGGTGCCACCTCGGGCGGTGGTTGAGGACCAGACGGGCCCTCTGTGAGCTTGGCGCGTGGCTTGCCGTGTTCAGTGTGGCAGGATGCATTGGTGCCGAGGGTGGTGAGTGTGCCGCTTGGCGGCCGCCTGGCCGGGGTGATCTGCTTCCAGGGAGGCTGCGCGTGGGGGTTTTCCTGGAGGGAGGGATGAGCAGGAGTGTCCTGGTCTGGGCAGCCAGGGTGGGCATGCGCAGTGGTGACGGCCTGGCTGACGGTCTGCCCGTGGGGCCGGTCTGTCTGCGATGGTATGACTGGAATGTGGGCATGGGAGGGAGAGTTGGATCCTGGAGGAACTGGGGCCTGGTGAAGCACGCAGCCTGCCGTGTTTGAACTAGGAGTCAGCTCCCACTTGCCTTCAGAGAAGTGACTCTGGGCCCCAGAGGGGGCAGCTGCCGGGCAGGAGCATCAGGGAGTGTCCCCCTGTGCAGGACTGAGTGGGGCCGTGTGAGCCAGAGGACAGAGAGGTGCGGGGTGCGTGGCCAAGGCAGGCCCAACCGTATAGGTGCAGGTACAGGGACTAAGTCTAGTATTCATAGAGCCGAGCAGGAGGGGTTCCTGTCTCCCTTCTATAAGTAAAGGACCACCTTCCCTCCCTGCTGGACCCAGGTGACGGTGGCAGCTGATGGGGGTCTGTCTCTGACCCTAGAGCCCACGACAGACACCTAGAAAGGTGACTGCATTGGCTGAGGCGATCTTGGTTGAAACAGTTGGGTATGTTATTTGTGCACAACCAAGGAGCACCAAGGCAGGACTGGTTTCAGGCAAGGCTTGATCCAGCGGCATAGGAGTGTCACCAGGGATCTCACCTCCTCAGCTTTGTTCTTGGATGATTTCCCATCATGACCCCAGATGGTTGTCCCCAGTTCTACCAGTAACCAAGTCTTTGCATCATAAGAAAAGAGAGTGTCCTGGACGCAGTATTCCCACCCAAAGTTTCGTGGCTGGAAAGGACAGATGGGCTCCCTGGACACCTGGCTGCCAGCAGCTAAGTCCTGAGCTTCCATCCAGGGCTACCTGCTCACTGGCGCCACCTGCTGTCTGGTTTGCATAATGCACTGTTTCTTAAGGTCATTTCTTTTCTTATAAAAGGACATCAGAAACAAATTGACCCAGAAACATTCAGAGACTTCTACAACTGCTGGAAGGAGACAGAAGCAGAGGCCCAAGAGGTCAGTCTGCCTTTGCTGGTGATGGAGCATCTGGATAAAAACGAGTGTGTCTACAAGCTGTCCAGCTCTGTCAAGACCAGCCGCGGCGTCGGTAAGATTGCCATGACCCAGAAGCGCCTGTTCCTGCTAACAGAAGGGAGGCCGGGCTACGTGGACATCTCCACCTTCCGGGACATAGAGGTCAGTGAGCCCACCCGCCAGTTCCAGAATCTAGCTGGTCAGCAGGGAGTGTGGCCGGAGCAATGCCCACTCGCCCAGCTGTGCTGAGCGTTGGTGCAGACCCTCCGCGCGCGCGCGGCTCTTGGTCTGCCTCAGTTTGCCCATCTGCCAGTGGGAATGACGGGGTGGGTGCCTTCCTGGCAGGGTCATGGGGAGGATGGACCAGGCGTGTGTGTGAGCAGCGTGTTGACCATGGCCAGCTCTGATGCCGCTGCCTTGTGCTTGGGAGGCTCCAGGTGACAGGCAGGCTGGCCTTCTCGCTGCAGACCCTAGAGGCAGAGGAACTACTTCCTCCAAGGGAAACTGACCTGGCCAGCCCCCGTGAGCCACCGTTCCTCACTTTATTTTAATATTTTATTATCATTATTTTTACTTTGGTACCAGGGATTGAACCCAGGGGTGCATAACCACTGAGCCACCTCCCCAACCCTTTTTTATATTTTATTTGGAGACAGGGTCTTGCTGAATTGCTTAGGACCTCATTGGGTTGCTGAGGCTGGCTTTGAACTTGTGATCCTCCGGTCTCAGCCTCCCGAGCCCTGGGATTGTGGTGGTAGGCGTGTGCCCAGCACGTACCACACGTTTTCTCATCAGGCCACCTGGCTCCTGTTGCTTCTTGAGTGAGCTTCTTGAGTAACCCACGTGTGTTTTAGCGTAGCCATTTGCACGGCCGGGGAACCTGAACTGTGCTCCTGCTCCATCCTGTGCCTTGCATTATTCGTCTCCTGCACTGGGAGGCCTGTCGGCTTGGTTCATGTGACGCATGACGGTGGCCATGGGGAGGCATTGCGGCTAGCGGCAGCTGAGGTCCGGAGGCCAGTGGGTGCCACAGCTTGGCTCAGCGGGGTCAGGCTTCCTCCTAGAACCCTCAGGCCGAGAGCTCGGGGCTGTGTTGAGCAGGCTGTCCCAGCCCTGGGTGAGCCCGGTGCGAGGGCTGCTGACAGATGGCCTGGGGTCCCTGCCGGGGCGCTGGGCTCCATTCCAGAGCTCTCTCTGCCCTCCCCCTCAGCCCCAGTGTCCCTTGGTCCGTGGCTTGACACGAGGCTTCTGCCTTCTCCGCCTCTGCAGGAAGTCAGAAGCACCACGTCCACCTTTTTCCTTCTGAGGATACCCACTTTAAAAATCAGAATGGCGTCCAGGAAGGAAGTGTTTGAAGCGAACCTGAAGTCGGAGTGCGACCTCTGGCACCTGATGGTGAAGGAGATGTGGGCTGGGAAGAAGCTGGCCGAGGAGCACAAGGTCCGACACTGGGGTCTCCACTCGCGGCTGACGGGTGTGCCCGCCAGCGCTTAGGCCGGGGTGAGGCCTGGCCCTCCTGGTGGAGGGAGGGAGGCCCTGAAGCTGTGGTGCCTGGACCCAGCTGGAGGCTCACGGCGCGTGGGAGAGCCGCAGGGCACAGGTGGCCCGACACCACGCCTCCTCGTTTCCCTCCATGCCCCCCCACTGTTCTGGTGACATCCCAGCAAGTGGAGGGACAGGGTTGGACTGTGCTGACCTCCTCCCCTCTGGGGTCTGAGTCAGGTGTTCTGGGCACACGCGGCTCCGAGTGGCCCTAACGTCACAGGATCTGGGAGTTGATGGGTGGCATTGGATTCCTTCCAGAGGCCATTGATATCCTAGGGATTCTGGCACTTTATCGACCACCCCGGGTGAAGCTGAAGGACACAGGGAGAGGAGGAAGCAGGTGGCGGGCCATGGTGTCAGTATCGTCTACCTGCCAAAATGAGGCAGGAAACCCCATTTAAAAAGGGGCCGAGACGGGAAAGGAGCTCACACAAAAGGAACAGCTCCTAAGGTCTGGGAGAGTCACGGCCCCACTAGTCCCCAGAGGAAGGCAGGCTCAGAACGGGCCACCACTGACGGGGGCTCCCAGTCTCGCAGTGGGAGGGCGGGCCCTTTCTACCAGGCCAGTGTTCCGTGGTGTTTGGACTAGCCGCTGACTTTACCTGCTCGGCTTTTTTACCCGAACCAGTGCCATCTGGCTACAGCTGCGGGCGGGTGGGCTGCTGGGCAGTTTGGCTTGAGCGCAGCCACCCTGTGTGCTCACTGAGGTCCGCGACACGTCTGTGCCCTGGGCCCGCCACAGAGGAGGAGCAGCCTGCGGCCTGGGCTCCTCACGGCAAGGCTTGGGGGGACGCTGCTGGCTCCCCGTGTAACCGTCAACATTTGTCTTAACATCTGTCTTAAAAATCGCACCCCATAAACCCAAACTCCTCGTCCACTGACCGCGACCATGGGCTGTGGGCGTGCCTGGGGACGCTCTGCTCCTCCTGCGGCCGCCTTGGGGACCTCTGTGGCTCTTCCTGTGTTGAAATGCACCCGTTTCCACCTTAGGACCCCCAGTACATCCAGCAAGCGCTGACCAACGTCCTGCTGATGGATGCCGTCGTGGGCACACTGCGGTCACCTGGTGCCATCTACGCGGCCTCCAAGCTGTCCTACTTTGATAAGATGAAGAGTGAAAGTAAGAGCAGCTGGCCGGGCGCCGTGCGCGTCTGGGGCGTGTCGAGGTGGGTCAGATGGCGCTGGCTGTCCCCTGGCTTCCTGGCCTGTTGGCCTCTCCTGACCCGCCTCTCCTCCGGTGGCCGCCTGGCTGCTGAAGCAGACTGGAAATCCAAGGATGGCCACTGAGTGGTGTGGGTGCCTCTGGACGCCAGGGACAGGCCTGGTGGGCTTGGGCCCTCTGCCGGGGCGACCTGCGTGTGCAGGCTGTTCCTGCCTGGCCCACGTTCCCAGGCCGCACAGCGGGGCCCGGCTTGAGCTGCCTTCCGGAAGATGGTTCTCAGTCCGGGTGCCCACGGGTGAGGACGACTCCCCACCATTTCAGTGCTGGCCCCTGTTTTGTTCCCATCTTGTGTGATCTCTGGGGCCAGCTGCCTCGGGGTGTGCGCGAGAGGTGGGGGTGTCGAGGACACTTGTTACCGTCGACACCGGCATCAGGCCAACAGCACAAGACTGGTTTCTATGCTAGCGGGTGGCGGCATGTGGCCTGGGGCCCTTGGGGCTGTGGGCAATGGTTTTCTGAGATAGAGTCCGTGTGTTGTCCTGTAAAGCGGACGCTCAGTGGTTCTGGAGGGTTCCGAGGGGTATGCCATGGCCTCTGGTGAGAGGGACCGGAGCCCATGGGAGTCCTGGCTGACCTGCCCGTCTGTCGCCCCTGGTGGGTGGGATCCGGTGCTTCTGTTTCGTCTGTTTGAATCGGGACGATAATATCAGCCTCGTCAGTCTGTGAGGCTTGACACAGTAAGGCAAGAGGGCAGCTGGGCAAGTACCAGAGCACAGCCGCCCCAACTGTAGTGCCCACGTGATCAGTGGGTAACTGCGGCCAGGAAGTCCCCTGAAGTCACTGAAGCTGCCCTGTGACAGGGAGACGGTGCCTGGTACTCATGGTTGGGGCTGGCGGGCAGGAAGTGCCCAGGACCCCGTTACAGCACGTGGTGCCAGCAGCCCAGATGGAGGCAGCTTTGTCTGGAGACGGGGGTTTTCTGCAGAAGGGGGTGTCGGCTCCTCCACAGGCCAGTGGCTTCTAACTGGGGCGACTCTGTACCCGCTCCCTGTGGAGAGGCCTCGGCAGTGCCGAGAGACATCGAGGGTGTGTGTGGGGTAATGCTGGCATCTGGGGGGCACGGCCAGGGACGCTGCTGAACATGGCACAGCACACAGGACACAGGTCAGCCCCGCAGCAGGGGACGCCAGCAGGGACGCCCAGCCTGCACCGTCATTCTGGGGCTGAGACTGCTCTTGAGCTAGTTTCCTTGGTTGCTGCAGCTCGGGGCTGTTTTGTTACTGAGGGATGTTTCAAGTGCCCTCTCTGCTAGGCAGCAGCTTCGGGCTGGGAAGGGGGCACTCCCCACGGCCCCCCATGCTGCCACACATAGGCTACCCCGAGAAGGGCCTGACGCTGCTCTCCTTGGACCTGGCTGCAAGGATGCCACCTGTGTCCTCGTGCCAGTGAACTGACTCCAGGTTTTGTCCTCAGTGCCCACGGCGTTCCCCATGACGACCGCGGAGACCCTGAAACACAAGATCAGCCCTTGGGTGGGGGAGACGGCGCCGCAGGCGGTGGACGTGCTGCTGTACACTCCAGGTGAGGGCTGTCCGTCGGGGCTGCTCTTTTACCGCTCATCTGCCAAGTTAGGGTTTGGGTGCGAGGTCACCCCGAAGCCAGAGGCTGCAGACCCGTGGGAAGCGGCGCAGGGCAGGGGCTTGGGGGGTGAGCCCTCAAGAGGCAAAGGCCACACCCAGACTCACCCGTCCCAGCGTGTTTGTCCCCTGCCCTCCAGAGCAGGTGCAGGGCACTGGCTCCCACCGGGTCACGTGGGTCGCTGGGAGTCACTGAGGCTGCCCTGTGACAAGGAGACCGGGCCTGGTACTCGGGTCGGGGCTGGCGGGCAGGAGCTGCCCTGCCCTTCCCTCCCCCACTCCTGTTTGGTGCCTTTCCTGCATATGACTTTCTGGCTCTCTAAGAGCTGCATTTGGATGGTAGGAGGGAGAACGTGGTGCACCCCGACTCCAAGCACCAGCAGGGGCCCTCCTTGGGCTGTGGTTGCACATCAGAGCACTGGGCTCTGGATGGCGGAGGACAGCAGCAGGGGCCACGCCGAGGGCAGGTGGTGGCAGGTGGGGCCGCTGGCTTCAGGCAGGAAGAACTCTCAGTTTGTTGTCAGTTCTTTGCTCCAGAAGGACTTAACACGAGCACCACAGAACACTCCCGCGTGGCCTCACGGATCCGTTGATTGACAATGGGCGCACGTTCTGGGGCGGTGGCCACGTGCTCTCCCGGGGAAGGGCCATGTGTCGGGAGAAGCAGCAGCAAAGCAGGGGGTGGTGGGGAATGAACAGAGCAGAGCTCAGTGCGTGCCTCGGACCCGGACTACGTGGCTGCTGACCGTGGTGCTCACTGGCTCTGGCTCCATGGCCACGGCGCCTGGACTGAGGGCTGTTTTCAGATCCAGGGCCCTTTCCCTTGAATTACAACTGACCAGCCTCTGGGCATCTTGCCCCTGTGGGACGGTGGTGTGGAGGGGCCGGGGCCTGCCAGAGGGGAGTCCTGGTAACCCTGGCTCTCGGCTGGACTCCCAGGGTTGCCAAGCCAGCCACGGACCAGTGCAGTAGACACCCCGAAGGTGGCTACCAGGACTCCTCCTAATGGTGATGTGCAGTGCTTGGGGGGGGGTGGGCAAGGACTGTCCATGGGAGATGGGGCCAGTCAGATGAATCCTGACCCCCTCTCCCCACGATCAGTTCCAGGGGACTGAAATCTAGACTTGATGGGCACAGCAACAAGCAATTAAAGCAAGCGGACCTGTGCACCAGGCCCTGCAGAAGGGGCCTCTATCCCAGGGCAGGCCCATGGCCCCTGGGGCCTCTAAAAGCCCTGACCCTGAGGCAGACTGGTGGATTTGGCCACGGTGGAGCAAAGGGTTTTGAAGGTCCTGCAGGAGTTACAGCGGATGTCTGCTGGGCCATAGTAGACGGGAGGAGGAATAGCACCAGTTGGTGGTGGGCAGAGTGGCCAGGGGCTCGGGCCTCAGCCTCATTAATGGTTAGGGAAATGTGAAAGCCTATGGCCCCTGCCCCTGGGGGGGCCCAGACAGGAGGTCTTGAGACCAGCCCGGGTAACGTAGAGAACCATCTTGAAAACAAAACCCCGAAACTTTTACTTCTTTAGAGTGGCCAAAGTTAAAAGGCCACCACTGAGCGTCAGGGAGATGGGGGACCCTCCTACGCCTTGGTTGGCATGGCACTTGGTGGCTCCTGCCTAGGCCTCTCCAGCTGACCCCTGCTTTCTGTGTCCAGTGCTCATCAGCCCCTCCTGCTGTTCCCGGCTCTGGAACTGTGGCTCTCTAGAGGCCTTGACGCACCTGCCTGGTGCCACGCAGGGCATCTGCCCCGGGTGCTCTGTCTGTGTGGTTCTCGGCAGCCAGTCTGCGCCCAGGGGCAGGCGTGTGGCCTCCTTGCCTGGTGGTGCCTGGGACCCCCTCACGTCTCTGCCACTGATTTCCTCTTCAGGGCATCTTGACCCAGCAGAGAAGGCAGAGGACGCCCGCCCCAAGCTGTGGTGTGCCCTGAGTGGGGGCAAGGTGACCGTGTTCGATGCCTCCTCCTGGACCGTCCACCAGCACTGCTTTAAAGTGGGCACCTCCAAAGTGGTGAGCAGGTGGGGGCCCTCAAGTTCAGATGGGCCCAGAGCCTCTCCCCGGCCCCCAGCTTTGGGAAACAGTCTCGTCTTTGCTGGGGTCTGAATGCGGCCTGCCCCTCCCACCACTATGGCCTGCTCATGGCGGGGGCAGCTCCGGGCCACCCAGGTGTGCCGGGCCCAGGGTCACAGAACCCCTATGGTATTTTCTATGATTCTGGTGATGCCTAGTGAGGGGCAGTGGGTGCCCTCCAGGGTGTCCAACCACCGTGCGTCCTAGCCAGCAGAGGCCAGGCCTGTCCTGGGCGCTTGGTCCTTTTGTTCCTTTGAGTCTGAATGAAGTTGAGGGTTTTATAACCAGAATGGCTGGGAGTTTCTTGGCCTGGTCGTGGTGTGGCCTCCTGTGGACACAGCAGCTTGAGGGTGCCCCTAACCCTGCACTGGTCCTCCGTCTCCTCAGGCGCTTGGCAGTCCTTCCCTGTCCTCAGACCACCATTGCCGGAGGACTGTGCCTTCTGGCCAGTCTGGTGGGTGTGAGAAGCATCTCCCGTTGAGCTGTTTGCATTTTTCCGGTCACTCGTGACCGTCTTTCTGTTTTGCCTGCCCTCACCTTGACTGGGGGGTCTCACTGTGTACCCAGGCTGCCCTTGAGCTCCTGGGCTCCAGGCACCCCCCCACCCCGTCCCCGTCTTGGCCTTCTGAGCAGCTGGGACTCCAGGCCCACCGTGGCTGGCTTCTGAGGACCCTTCGCAGATTCACAGGTGCGGCCTCTCTGGAGTCCCAGCCTCTGTCCAGTCTGTGCTGCCAGGTGGTTTGGTGCCCTGTACTCCCACTGTGCAGGGGCTGTCCCCTGTCCAGGAGAAGGCACAGTTCCAAGGGACCCTGCAGGGAGATGCCCTGCCCTGTGCCTCACACAGCACAACCCGTTGAGCTCACATGTAACGTGAAGAGGACGTTCCAGCGAAGCGTCAGGCAGCTGCTTAGGGTCCATTTTGGTGGTTGCATCTTATCTAAAAATAACAGGACGCTCGTGGCGTGAGCAGAAAATGAGTTTTCACACTGTTCCAGTGGGTGCTTTCAAAGCCAAAAACCCTGTGACTGCAGCCCGGGCACCGAGTGCCTGGGATCAGGCCGTCCAGGTACCTGGATGTCAGACTCGGCAGCGCGCAGGGGAGGGAGAGGCCACGGAACTGCTTCCCGAACCCTTCCCATAGTCCGCAAGTCTATGGACTTGGACGAGTGGGAGGGTCTGAGTTACCAGAAGTGAAAATGTGCGCGTCTGACCACACTCAGAACTGGGCAGAAGCAGAAAGAGAAACTAAGGGAACTGTCCTTGTTCTGAGTTGAGAGCCCACCAGAGCCTTTTTAATAAGATCCCAACGACAGTAAGCCCCAAAGGCTGCCTGGGTAGCAGTCCCCGCCGCCCTCCAATTAGTCCTGGGAAACAAGTGCGTGTCTGTGTCTGGGAGCCCAGTGGGGCAGCGGCCACCAGTTCCCGTCGTGCCTCTCGCCCTGTTAGAGCTGCATGGTGATGGCGGAGCAGAGCCAGGTGTGGATTGGCTGCGAGGACTCCGTCATCTACATCATCAACACCCACAGCATGTCCTGCAACAAGCAGCTCACGGACCACCGCTCCGCGGTCACGGGCTTGGCCGTGCAGGATGGGAAGAAGCCCAGGTACGGTGGCTCTGTAGGGTCAGGGGTGCCAGTGTGAAGGGTGCTGGGCTCAGAGCAACGCGGGTCCAGAGGCGAGGTGGGCAGCGACCCTGCTCGTGGGCACAGAGGAAGGCGCTGACCCTCGGTGACCGTCATGGGCAGGCGTGGCGACAGGGATGAGCTTTCTCATTGTTACCTTGAAACCTGTATGTGAGAGATCCCCTGAGCTTTCACTGTTGTCATCCTTTAAAACTGTCATTGTTAAGTCCCCAGCTCCCACAGAGCCAGCTGCTGGCCAGCAGCCTGTAGCCTGCCCAGGCCTGGCAGGGTTTCTGTTCCTGCTGGGCCCATGACCTCACTTTGACTTGGAAAAGGGCCTGCCTCCATGTCAGGTCCCGTTCTGAGGTCCTGGGGTGAGGACACACGTTTCTCAGGGACAGTTCAACCTGACCCTGGTTGTGTCACTCACTGTCTGTTCCTGTTACCTGAGGGCAGGCTCTGGTTCTGCTCACCACGTGTGTCCTGTGGTGAGGATAGGGCCTGGCACAGCACTGCCCAGGTCAGGGGCTCACCTGGAAGACAAACAGGCTGGCTAGGGCAGGACCAGGGGTGGCGCTGGCCAGTCCCCCTCCCTGCAGCTGCAGTGCAGGCCCTCTGTGGCCCCTCTGGGCTGGGCAGCCCTTGGTGGGCCTTGTTTCAGTCTATGGTCTTGCTGTGGCTCTGCCCAGGACAGGCTCTGTGCGACTGGGTGCCCCGACAGCCTGCTCCTGCCCCGGACGGCCGGGCGGCACTCGCCTTCCGTGTTATGGATGCTTAATGGCGACTTGTTTCTCCTGGGGCTGAAGGCCTGGGGCCCAGGGGCCCTGTTCAGTGTGTGCACATGCCTTTGATCCCTCCAGCCAGGTCTTCTCCTGCAGCCTGGACGGGACAGTCCTGGCGTGGAACGTGAGCACGCTGCAGGTGACCAGCCGGTTCCAGCTGCCAAGCGGAGGTCTCACGTCCATCAGTCTACACAGTGGCCATCTGTGGTGCTGTAAGTCCTCCAAACCACCCTGACCCTGCTCTCAGAGCCTGTTTCCCTCTGCCTGGGGCACCTCTGGTTTTAGGGTCAAACTGGCAACCTCCAGGCACTCTCTGTCACTCTTCCCTGCTGGCTGTGCCCAGGCCCCCGACTTCCCGGCCCCTGCCGCCCTGGTGTGCCCGCCACGCCCGCCTCCCTGTGCTCTTGCTGCACATGCTCTGGGGTGAACCTGTCCCAGGTGTCCCTGAGTCCCCTGCTGCCCCATCACCCTCCACAGCCACCTCCCCTGGGGCTGCGCTGGGCCACCCCTGCCACTCCCAGCACATCCCTGGGACCTGAGCATCCTCAAGGCCAAGCCAGGCACTTTGCAGGAGATGGGAGGCATAGCCTCTGCCTGGCGGCTCATGTTGCCCTGGGGGGGACGCCCAGGGCACAGGTGTTGCCTGTGGCTGAAGGCCTCCCTGTGGGCGTGGCCAGACAGGGCGCATGGTTGTCCCCAGTTCTTTTACATTGAAGTACTTTAGTGTAGCGAGATGCACAGGACCCTCCACACCCCCCCTCAGTCTCTGCAGGGGATCGGTTTCAGGAGCCCCAGGGCTGCTCATGGCCTTCATCCGAAGGTGCTTTATGTCACCTCTGGGCCACTTACCTACCTGGCATGACAGTGTCATGAAAGGCTGACAAGGGTTAAGGCAGCTGCAGGAGGCTGCTCCCAGAGCAGGCAGAGTGGGGGGGCCGGAGTCAGAGTCTCTCTGGGGGTCAGGGGTTTTAACCAGCCAGTTCCCCAGAGCCGTCAGGCAGGGCTCCAGAGGACGCCAGTTCTGGAATGTCAGCTGGAGGTGTGATCTTGGAGTGAGGTGTGCGTCACTGTCATGGGCAGGACAGAACCAGGCATTTTCTGACGAGTGACCAGCTGACACGGGTCAGCTGGCTTGAGTGGGGGGGGGGGGGGTCCTTTTATGGGTCTTAGATGAGGGGTTGCATCTGATGAGGCTGGTAAACTCCCAAGTGTGAGCTGGGTGTGGTGGCACATCCTGTAAACCCAGTGACTTGGAAGGCTGAGGCGGGAGGATTGCAAGTTCAAGGCCAGCAACTTAGTGATACTGTATCAAAAAATAAAAGAGAGCTGGGGATGTAGCTCAGTGGTGAAGTGCCCTGGTTCAATCCCTGAACCAAAACAGAAAATAGCCAACCAAACCACCACCGCCACCGCCACCTGCATTCTGGTGTTCCTGATGGGTTGGGACGTCCTCAGGCTCCTGATTTCTTCGTTTGATCAGTTGGCAGGAATCACTTGTTTACTGCCTGGTTCTTTGTGGCCGTGCTGGGCAGATGGCGGTCGCTTACCTGCACAGACCAGGTGCAGAGTCACCTTCTTTGGTGGTTGTACTCAAAATGGAGCAGCCCCTGGCAGGCTTCTGTTCTGTAGGATGGAGTAGCTTGGGGCAGGCACAGTCCAAGAACATCTGTTGTACACACCATGGAGGGACTCAGAGCAGGGTTCAGACAGAAAGAAGAGGGGCCAGGCCAGGGGCACCCCGCAGTGACCCACTCTGCTCCTCTCGGGCCCCAGCGCAGGCTGAGGATAAGCCTTCCACACGTGGGCCTTTGGGAACTTCCAGGCCCCAGCTGCAGCGGTTGGGAAGGTCCCTCTGCGTCCTGTTGGCTGTGAGCCTCCTGGTGATGTTCACTTCAGTTCTAGAGTCTCCATTTGGTTTTTGTTTGGAGGACTCCATTTCTCTCCTGACTTCCTTGTGCCCTCACCTGGCCTGTCCCTGTGTGCTGGGCCCACCCTGGGACGATCACACACCAGTGACGTGCTGAGCCCTACCCCTGTTCTCTGCCCTCTGGGTCTGTACGGTGGGGGTGGGCAGTGAAGCTCCTGCAGTGGTTGGGAGCTGGTCCCTGCCACTCGGGCCTCCTGTGGCCCTGCTCCACACTCCCACTTGTTAGTCCAGGTAGGTGACAGCACCCGGCCGGGGCTTCCTGGAGTGCGGTGCTTGTCGGGCAGCACCAGAGGCAGCTCCCAACCAGGCTTAGAGGGGGGGAGAGGAGAGCCCTTGTGAGCCCCTTCACTATCAGGCTGGCCAGGGTCCCAGGGCCCACTCGTCAGGTGAGGCTGGCAGCTGGAGGGGACTGCAGTGCAACGTCCCCATGGTGTAAAGCCATCGGCATCTTGGTGGGGGCACCTACTCCAGCTCCTGGGACCCGCTGTCTCCCAGCACCCGTGTACCCAGGCCTCTTTGCTTGTGAGCGGGATGCTACCCGAGAGCCAGGCTTGTCCTTCTGCCCTCCGGCCTGCACTGTTCACACGGGACACTGGCGTGCCAGGGGGCAGGGGACAACGCAGTGGCTCCGCCAGGTCAACTCCAGCCTGACCAGGCCGGCTTTGTACCCCCTCCTGGGCTGGTTTTGATGGCTTGGAGCTCGCAGAGAGGCAGACACTGCTGGCCTGCAGGGAGGCCCCTCACCTGCAGGATGACAGACCGAGGGGTGTGCTGGTGCTGCGCACAGGGAAGCTGGGTGTCACTGAGTGGGGCTAGGACCCGCTTTGGCTGCTGGAGAGGAAAATCCCCAAACACCAGAGGCCCGAGGTGCCCAATCCGCCCTGCCTTCTGCCCCACTGCCCACGCCGAGAGGCCCCTGGCAAGCTCGGGCCCAGGGCCCCGCCGTGTTAAGCGTGGAGCAGCGGTGGGTGGGCTCACGTTCCGCATCACAGGGACACTCGCTGCCCTGACCCTTCCAGCCCACCATGCGTCACCCGCCGCTCCTCACCAAGCTGTCCTCCTGCAGGCACAGGTGACAGCATCTTGGTGCTGACCCTGCAGGGCACCTTCTGCCAGGAGCTGAGGAGCGACGAGACCCCGAGCAACACACGCACCTCTTTCGTGGGCTTCCAGCTCTTCCACGAGGTACTGCGGAGCAGCCGGCTGCCCGCTGCTGGGGCGGGGCTGCCTTGGCCACAGGCCCACGGTGGTTTCTGTCCAGCAGGAGCAGCTCTGGGCGGCCTGTGTGGGTCACAGTGAGGTCTACGTCTGGAGCTTGAAGGACCTGGCCCGGCCGCCGCAGACGGTGCCCCTTCAGGACTGCTCCCAGATCCACTGCCTGCTGCTGGTGAAGAGGCAGGTGAGCCGCCGCCTTCCCTCCGGGGTCCTCCCTGCAGTGGGGCTGGGCAGAGGACGAGGCCAGCAGTGTCCTGGATAAGCCTTCCACACGTGGGCCTTTGGGAAATTCCAGGCCCCAGCTGCAGCGGTTGGGAAGGTCCCTCTGCATCCTGTTGGCTTGTGAGCCTCCTGGTGATGTTCACTTCAGTTCTAGAGTCTCCATGGTGTGACTATGCTTCTTAGAAGCTGGACGTCCCAGAACCGCATTCTGGGTGGCTTCAGCCGCTCACTAGACCTCTGCCCTCAGGCCTGAGTGGGTTGAGGGTGAGGGCACGTAAGCGCTTAGCAAGTGTCAAGTCCACAGACGGTGTGTCTGACCACGGTCACATGGTCCCTGTGGTCCCTGGGCTGGGAGGCCTGGGAAGAGGGCTCCAGAGGCCACAGAGGGCTGTGGCCCCCAGCTCTGTCCTGTAGGTACATCAGGTGGCCTGTCCAAGAGGGACTCGGCTTCGGGGCGCAGAGCCCAGGACTGGGCCATGCCCACGCCCTCGAGGCTCTTGGATCCTGGCTGACACGCCTCCCGTTTCTCCCTGCAGATCTGGGTGGGCGGCAGGGGACTGTCACAGGGGAAACTCAAGGGGAAAATCTACGTGATCGACGTACAGCGGAAGACCGTGGAAAAGGAGCTGGTGGCACACGCGGACACCGTGAGGACCCTGTGCTCTGCAGAGGACAGATACGTGCTGAGCGGGTCTGGCGGGGAGGAGGGCAAGATCGCCATCTGGCAGGTGGAATGAAGGCAAAGGGCCTGCTGGCCGCCCTGGGCGGGGACAGCACCTTCTGCAGCCTTCCCCTCCGCAGGAGCCTGAGGGGCAGGGGTGCCAGTGACGGGCCCCGGCCCTGTGCGTCTCTGGACGGTCTGTGTGGGTGCTTGCTCAGGCTGGCCGCCACATCTCCTTTCCCACTACCTCTGCCAGAGGTGTCCTGTGCCATCTGCAGAGTTCCAGAACCCACGCCCAGGGGACAGCACTGGGCCCAGAGCCGACCAGGCTGGCCTCTCCTTCGCCTCCCTCATCCACTCCACGAGTCATGTGGGCATCACAGGGGGTGTGGCGGGCACATGGAGGAGCACCAAGGGCTGCGGCCTCCATGACTGCTCATTCTGGGGAGGCTCTGGGGAGTTTAGGAGCCCAGGCTGTCCCGCCAGAGCAGGTGGCTGGGGCTGCCCGAGGGGCGGGGCGGCGCTGTGATCTGTTGTGCAGACTGGGGGACTAGCTGGGGCAAGCTGCTGCTGCTTTTCTTGTTAAAGTAAGATTTCTATAATGAAGAAACCCAGAGACTCTGTTTCACCACAAACTTCGGCAGGTCTGGGTGGGGAGCCCGTGGTCCTGCCTGGGTGCAGAACCACTTACCAGTCCTGCCTTCCCAGGCCACTCTGGGCCTCCTGCGCATGCTGTGGACTGACGTGCTGGCGAGGCTGCACCACCCGAGAGGAGCTGTAGATAGTCCAACGCTCGCAAGGAGGTCTGTGTATATTTTCATGCTGCAATTGAGATTTCATTCCTGAAATGTTCTGTAAAGAAGGTTTGGGCCTTGTTGCTGGACACAGAGGGAACATTTGTCCACTGGCACAGTTTTGGCTTGTGGCCAGTCCATGGGCTCAGCCTTGGGGTCACCTGGACACTGTCAGGTTTTTGGGACTTAGCTGGACACATGCTAATCTTGCTCGCCAAGGGCTGCTCAGGGTGTCTGTGGGCCCCCGGACCAGGGCCATGCTTGGGCAGCACCCGGGTGCCACGTGAACACGAGCCCCTAGATGTGGCTGGATCTACATTTTGAAAGGCCTGCATCACCGGACAGAATGTTCCCTAAGTGTGGTTTTGCATAGCCACCAGCTTTTCAGTGTCCTGGAACATGGCACAGAGAAGGGCTCAGGGTTGCACCCTGCTTGTCTGTGTTTCGGGGGCGCTCCCGACATCTGCAAGGCGGGGCTGACAGCAGAGGCCAGAGGTTGAGCTCTGCCTTTGTAAACACGTGCGAATGTCCAGGGAGAGTCTGTCAGGAATTCAGTAACGACTGTTTAATACCAAGCCATGTGTAGCCAGGTGTCTTCAGTGTGAATAATAAATTCTTTATTTAGTAACTGCTAATGTCCAGTTGATTTTTGCCATCATCAACTGGAAGAGGTCTCCAGGCAGCGTAGGACCATTTTGAACTTGCTCTTGACTCATGCCAAGCACCAGATAAGTTATCTCACTGCAGGTGATAATTTCCAGGATTGTGTATGATGGTGATTGGGTTTGAAACAACCAGTGCAGAACCACAGGCTTTTACGAGGTGGTCATTTATGTAAGAGGGAGTGGTGAGCACCCGAATCGAGGGGCAGTGGGCTACAGTGAGTGGCCGTTGCGCTTATGTAAACAGTCCTTGCTGAGCGCTGGCTGGGATGGAAAGGGCACCTCGATGCCATCAGGGTCCACCAGGAACTGCTCAGAGGTTCCACCTGGGCTGCTTTGCTGGGCTCTCATGAAAATATATAAAAATATATAAAACCGAGAAAGCTCCTGCAGAGGGTTGAATGACATCAAAGGTATGTCCACATCCTGACTTGACTTGGAGAAAGGGTCTTTGTGGATGAAATGATGATCTCAAATGTGGGCAACTGGCCTGAGGAGGCGGGGACAGGGGCACACAGGGAGAGGCCTGCGTAGGTGGAGCAGAGGATACAGATGCAGCCAAGTCAGCCGGCAGCCGTGGGGGCTTAGAGGAGCAGGACGGCTCACCCCCAGAGCCTCCAGAGCCCCCCACACCTGGATTTCACTCTGCGGCCAACAGAACTGTGAAGAATCTAACTTCTGCCATAGGAAGTCGCCCAGGTGGTGGTCACCGGTTATGCAGCTGCAGGACACTCCCATGGCTGTTGTGGAGCGTTTGCTCTGGGCAGGGCTTGCCAGGCTTTTCAAATGCACTACCGTGCCTGGTGCTCAGAACACTTACCACATCGAGGAACACTGTCCCCACGTGATCTGTCAGGGCCCCCTGGCCCCAGCAGTGACAGCAAGGCTGCAGGGAGCACCTGCTCCTCATTTCCCCGGAGTCGATGGTTCTTCAGGGGCTCAGGGCTGGTCTGGCTCTGACGGGGTGGAGGGAGGTCCTATCAGCCAGTCTCCTAGCTCTTAGGGGGTGGGAGACGGGTGGTCCAGAGTGTCAGTAGCCCCTGCCTCTTAGCCTGTGTCCTGGGGCAGGGAGGGAAAGAAAAGGGAAAACAGTGGACAACACCAAGAGTTCATTCTGTAAAGAATGATGAACTATCAAGATTGCTCAAGGGAAGAAAAAACAGTGTCATATTACATGATTTTAAGCTTTACTAAAAACCACAGGAATTAAGACACCATAGGATTTGACCTGATGGCAAATGCACCCACAAAACAGAGTGCAGGGTCTAGCACAGTCCGCAGTCAACTGACTTTCGGGAAGAAAAAGTCGATTCAGTGAGAAACCTGCTCAGCACACAGCGCCACCCCGGCTGGACAGCGAAGAGAGGACGACGCTGAAGAGCAGCTCAACCCTCTCCTCACGTGAAAATTCAATAACAAAACTTAATTCAAGGAGGTTCACAGATCTAAATGTAAAACTAGAAGTTCTAGAAAGTAGCCTAGGAGAATGTTTTTGCAACCTAGTGCAGACAGAGATTTTTTTTAGAGAACACAGGAAAAAAAATCTGAAATCAAAAGAAAAAATAGAACCACTTACCTGACTGGCAAAAGCAGCCAGACACAAAACAGGTGGCACTTACCGGGCTGGTTGGGTTCATGGCTGTCTGGGTGGCAGTGAACTGGCTGCAGTCCAGGGAGTCCTGGGCAGTGGGGCGTCAGTTTCTCAGGTGCCATTTGTCAAAACTCATAGAACTGCTGACTGCATACCTGTTGGTTTTACTGTGTGTGAAGTAACCGTGGTTAAAGCACAAGACCCTGACCAGCGGTGTGGGGTGCTAAGCGCTGGTCATGCAGGGCGTCAGCCAAACCCAAACGGCTGCACAGTGCAGAACCGGAGTGTCCGCTTTTTGTAAAATAAAAACTTCTTTTTAACATTATTTTGCATGCAAAGATGTAAAGGTTGTTCAGTTCGGGGTAGGGGGCTTGGGGTGCCATTTTCTACATTATTTACTGCTCCTTGCCCCACGGTGGCCAGTTTGTCCCCTCTGAGCTCAGGTAGCACACCCGTGGACCTCTGGGTGTGCTACTCAGGTGGCCCCAAGTTGGAGCACGAGATGTGCTGTGGAGGAGGCCCCCTCTCGGTGTCGCCCCAGTCACGTGTGTCCACAGCTCCCTGCTGCAGGGGGAACACAGGGTCTTGGGGACAACCGGACTCGGTCCTGCCATGTGGGTTCCCTGCAGAGAAACTCACCCATGAGGTGCAGGGGCTGCAGCCTTCCCAATACTTGGCCTCATGTCCCTCGATGACCTCACCCTACCCAGCTGTGCTGAGGGGCTCTTGCCTGCATTCCCCACCATCGCCCCTGCCTCACCCCTGGCCAGCAGGTGGGTGCATTCTGGCTCAAATCCCACCAGCTGGGACTAGCCTCCTGTTTCCCCTGCTGCCAACTGGCTGTGACATTGACAACCCTCTTGGGTGGAATGCCATAAGACCCAGATGGTGTTTTCTGCCCCAGGACCCTGCGTGCATTAGGGACCACCAAGGGTCACCCACTGCCCCTTCCTGGTGTGGCCACTCATGCCCATGCTGGCAGGTCAACCAGACCCGGGGCAGTCTGCAACTTCCCAGCCCCTCCTCCACCGGAACAGCCCAGCCAGGCTGCGGAGCTGTGGCTCTCAGTGCAGCAGAAGCAGGGTTGGGGAACTCAAGAGGTGGGCCCAGGTCTGTAGCTGGGGGAGCCTCAGGGAAGTGGAGACCTTCCTTGTGCCCACCAGCAGCCCTCCTCCCTGCTCCTCAAGCCCAAGGAGGGCAGAGGGCAGCCGTGGGGAAGTGACAGAGAAACCCACATCGGCAGCTTAGAGGGAAGGAAGGTTTATTCAGAGGAACAGAGGAACAGAGGAAGGGGTGGCGCTGACCTCTGCACAGGCTCCTCTGCAGGAGGTCAGTGCTGCAGCCCCATGCGTGCAACAAGTGGCTGCAGAGAACACGGAAGCCCCGGCTCTGCGGAGAACAGACACACACAGGAGAAGAAACTAAGTCATGTGTGACATTACTCTTCTTTATAATCCCTTTTCTCATAAAACATAACATCATGTGTTTAACACACACTTAAACCATTGCTAAAATCAGCAAGAGCTATTACAGTGTTCCAACTTAATAAGTTGATTTAAAAAGTTGTCCTGTGGCCAGTTCACAATGGAACCAAATAGCTTTGTTCCGAGGTGCTTGGGGAGTTTCTCTGGTACCAGGCATTTCAGACAAACGGACCATCCAGTCTCAGTCCAGTGCACACAGTGACTGCCCCGTCAGCTCCAGGGAGGGCAGTAGAAGCCACCAGAGGAGGGCATCAGGCTCTCCTAGAGGTCTGAAGATGGGCAGGCCAAGGGGCCGCTCAGGCTGGGGCTCTGGCCAGGATGGTGATGCCAGCCTCATGTGAGGTGGTGACCAGTGCTACTTAGGCTGGGCCCAACACACCACCTGAGCCAGGACCAGTTCACCTGGAACTGAACGGACAACACTCCCAGGTGGTGCTGGGCAGTGCCCAGGAGTTCTTGGAAGCAGGCCACTCCTGACAGGCCGGTGGGGCCCAGCTGGACACAGGCTGGACGCTGGCAGTGGGACGCAAGTCTCAGAAGCGGCTTGATGGATGTACAGAGACAGACAAGGCTGTTTCTGGTGGCAATTCACACACCTGGTCTTGGTGGCTAAGGTAGGCAGACGCTCAGGGAGATGGAGCAGCTGGAATCAGAGTACTCTTCAGACGTGCGACCAGTACCACAGGCCGCAGAGGTCATGGGCGCTGGAGGAGGGGACTCAGCTCTGGGCATCAGAGCACTTGCTGCTGCGCTGCCTCTCCCACCCAGAGCCTTGCAGAAAGACCGAGCCCAGCTGGAAGCTACTGGCGATCTGCGGAGGGCGTAGCTGTCCTGCCTCACCCAGGAACATGACTAGACACAGTGCCTTCCCCAGGCCTGGCCCTTGCTGGGGCTCCAAAGCTCTAAAGCCAGTGGGCAACGTCACCTCAGCTAAGACCCCTGGCATTAGGCTAAGAGGAGGAGAACACCACGCCCACCGCCAGCTCCATAGCTACCAGGGCGCGTCAGAGCCATTCTGCCAACAGAGGGGGCCAGCTGGAGGCTGGCAGGGGCAGCCCACGCCTCTTCCCCCTCCTACCAGCCTGCGCTCCTGCAGAGGGAACTTCCCCACGGGTAAGAGCCATCTTGCCAAAAGATAAGATACTCAGTTGACTCTTTACAGCACATAAAAACACCAATCAGACCAAGGCCACCCTACCCAGGGAGCCAACAGTGCTCAGCCACTGAAACCCCGCGCAACCCTCGCAAGCACTCGGGGGCACAGCCAGGGGCCTACCCGGCCCAAACCTGAGGGTGCTGCAGGCTCACTCCACATTGTGTCCTCAGCTCTGCCAGGGTCCCGTAGGCCCAAGTCTTTCAAGTTAAGAGGCCACAGATGGGGTGCCTGTGGGACTTGGCACTCCCACCTCTCCCCTGCTGCTGTGACCTGAGGTGTGGACGGCGCACGAGCGCCAGGCCAGCGTGTCCTCTGAAGCAGCAGGCACAGCCAGCCTGCCCTTCTCCTTGGCTCTTAAGACACAGGCTCCAATGCCCACAGCCTCAGGCTGGTCGGACTGCAGTCAACTCATCCCAAGGGAGGGCCTAAGGGTCCTGTGCCCAGACCAGACCCACGCCCAGAGTTCAGGGATCTGGGTCACCCACGTCTACCTACCAGGGGAAACCGGAAACTGACTCCACCAGTGACCCTAGGAACTAAGTACACTGACCAGACTCACAGGAACAGACTTTGGTTGCAAGTATCTAAAGGGCTACAGCTCTGGAGCTCCACCAGGTGTGAGCCAACTGGTGTCACCTACGAGCGGACACTGGCTTCCTTTCTGGTACCTCACAGTGGCTCTGATGAGGCCTGTGTGGGAACACAGACGTCTTCGGTTGTCAATTGAGATCACAGCCAAGTCAAGGCCAGGGTCAGAGGGCCAACACGGCAGGTGGTGGCCCCAAGCCTCCACCCGCACACCTTGGCCAGGCAGAGCTGCAGGTGAACCAGCTTCAGGTGGCACAGGTGACAGGGGCACAGTGCATAGCTTCCGATTAGACCCCATGCTGCGCCTGGCTGTTCCACTTCTTGGTTCAGACCAGCCCCTGCCCGTCCAGCTTTCTCTGGCCCCCATTTCCTAGTCACTAGGTGGGGAAGGGCCAGCGGCAGCCAACAGCCAAGGCGGGATCTCAGGAAGGACCTGCTACAAGCTCTGAGCACTAAAGAGAATCAGGCTGCACAGGAGGGCCCCGCCAAGGATGCTCAGCCGAGGAGGAGCCCAGGAGTGCCCGTCACCCTGAGAGGGACAAAGTGCCCAGTAGGTAGGGCTTGGCTGGTGGGAGGGCTAACGATATGCCAGCGGCGCTTTCAGTAGTTGAGACCTTCCCCGTCCAAGCACAAGATTCACAAGGCCACTCTCAAGAGTTGGCACGTACAGAAAGCATCTGGGCTGGAAGCCTGTCCTCAGCTGGTGGAACGCACCCTTACGCCCTGAGTACACACCTCATAAACAGGCACCAAACTGTTTCTTGTACACAAAACATAAAAGCTACAAAGTGCCACCAGTGGCAGGAGACATGGCAAGAGCAGTGGCCTGCTATGGACATTAAACAGCCATTCCTTAAGTACACAGAAAATTCAAGTAATTTATTTAAAAACTGCTTAGCTTCATCTTGAAATATATATATGTATAAATATATGTATATATATGCTTTAGAATGATCATATTGCAGCATGATTCTCATGCATTTTAAAGTACTTTATTTAAAAAACAACTCGTGGCAACACGAGCATTACAAGGTCTGGCTCCGTCTGGGTGACTGCGGGGCTGCCCTCCTCCTCTTGACCTCAGTGAGCTCAGACCGACCGTTTCAAACAAGTGGACACGGCTGAGTTTTTCATAGAGATTGTGGTTGAAAACACTCCAACCACCGCAGCATTTGGTGACTGTTCTTCCCCACAGCCTGAGTTTTGCTGATTCGCTGAAACCAGGAATACCACGCTGAGCCGGGGGCCTTGAGAAAGACACTCGCTGACCCAGGAAGAGACACTTGTTTCTCTCTGCACCGGTTCCACGTCCTGTGACGAGCGTCCCGTGACGAGCGGGTGAGCAGCAAAGAAGCCACGAGAGTTCAGATGAGCTCCAGCAGGGAGTCCGACAGCAGGTGGGCCAAGGCCACCACCCACACACGCGAGGTAGTCTGGCCAGGGCTCCCAGCACATGGCAGAGGGGACAGAGGGCCCTGGGACTGACGATGGGAGCAGCCTGCAGGCGGCGGGCCCGGGAGGGTGCCGGGGTCTGGACGCGGACACACACAGGTGCCAGCTGATCTGACATGGCCGCTCTGCCAGCAGCCACCACTGGGCCTCCCAGCTCGGGTGTGTGGCTGCCAGAGCAGGCGGTTGTCCCAGCCCAGGCTCACCCCAGGCACGATTCGTCAGACTCTCTGAGGACGAGATGAGACGCTGTTCTTCTAAGAAAACCACAGTTGTGAAGGAGAAAAATAAACTTTTAAAAATGATCATAAAGAAAAATACTCTCCAACAGCTGGAGCACCAACAAAATGTGACAAGACCCGATGGACATCCACAGCTGAGCGCCAGTGAGGGACGTCTGGTGTACGTCCCCGTCACCAGCTGCACTGTGATTTTTCTGACATAGTATGACAAGATATGTCAAGGACGTCAGAGTTTCTGCATTTTCAATTGTAATTTTAGAAATGCAATATCTTTTCTTCTAAATTGCTTATTGGCTATATTGTTTTACAATTTAAAAACATGCAGAATAATATACCTGCAGAATAAAAGAGCTGAAATTAAAAGATCTTTTTCAATTAAAAAAAAAGATTTCAAATGATTTTTTTTTTTTAATTGTGGAAAAAGTAATTAGTGTGATATCTTTGCCTAAAGAGCTCAAACCTACCCTACAACTACGGAATTTCGACTGTTCTGAGAAGGACCTCTGCGTGCGCTGGCCTGGAAGCCCCAGTGAGGACAGGGCCCAGCAGCCCCTGGCCACGGTCTCCCGCACGGAATATGCCAATGGAGTGCTCAGACCATAGACTCGGTCTCCACCAGCCCCTGCAGGCCCTCCTTCCGGGACAGCTTCAGGACAGTGGGCTTCTCACTGCCCCCGCGGCCTTCACCTTCCAGGGCAGGCTGGGAGGACAGAACTTTCTGCTCATCCTTGGCCTCCTCTGACACCTCAGGATAGATCACCAGGAACGTGGCCGTCAGGAAGCCCAGGAAAGAGCCCACAGAGGCCACCATTGGGATGACACGCACAGTTCCCACGGCATCAACCACACCCCCGAGGGCGGACGCCACCAGGATCTGGGAGATGTAGACCTGGCAGGAAAGGATGGCGCAGTCGATGCCAAACCCACGCTTCGAGTTCCCAGGACTGTGGTGAACGTACTAGAAGAGAAGAGAATTCACAGTGAGGGGTTCCAGAGGTGTGACCCTGCTGAGGGGTCTGCACACTGCCGTGCCTTCCTCTCAGCTTCCAGGCAGCTGCTCCTGCCTGGGCCTCCCGCACCCCAGCTCTGGCTCCGCACCATGCAGACAGGATGTTCTTGCTCCCTGGAGGGGAGAGGTGAGGAAGCAGCTTTGTCAGCCCCATCCATCAGAATACAGGCTCCCTGGGGCCCGGCCTCTAGTCCCAAGGAAGGGCAGCAGGGCTGACTCTGCCCACCCAGGTGGTCTCCAGTGAGGGCTGGAGGGCAGGGGCTCTGAGTCCATGCCAATGCTTCCCACATTCTGAATGCACTGACACTTAGATCATACTAACGGGGCATGGGGCTTCATCTGTTTCCTAAGATACAAGTGAACCCTGGTGCATAGACACTTGTGGTCACACTAAGTGACCACATCTTCTGATGGAAGGCAAAGCAACCTTGATGTGTGTGTACCATGACTACAGAGGGAGGTTCCAATGTACCTTGCACAGAGTTAGTGGACACAGGACGGAAGGGAACAGAAGAGCTCAACACACTCAGGGCACTAAGCACAGGACACACTTTCTTTCCAAGAGCATAAAGAATGTTTGTAAACATTTGTGACACACTGGGCCACAAGGGGGGGGGGGGGCTCGATTAATTTTAGGGGCGGAAGTCACGTAAGACTGTCTTCTGACCTTGAGGAATTACACTAGAAACTAGAAAATCCACTATATGTCAGAAATTCATCAACATACTTCTAAATAATTCATGGTTCAAAACAGAAATCATCACAAAAATTAGAAAATCTTTTAAGTGATTGAAACTCAATGAATTACAACTTCCCAGAGTGTGGCTCAAGCTGTGAGAAGAGGGAAATTTGTACCCTTAAGTGCAAATACTCAGCTAAAATCAAAGAAAGAAATTAGAAGATAGCAAATTAAATATAAAAAAAAATAACAGAAAGCAAAAGACCCGTAAAGAGCAGAAACAGATACAAAGTGAACGTACCACAGAGGACCGAGGGTCCGAAAAGCTCCTGGAAACAGACTCCACTGATTCCCAGACAGTATCAAAAATGATAACGGTGCTACTGCATTACATTGTAAGGAAATATTCTGAACAATTTAATGTAAATATAGTGGAACTTTCAGATGCAATGGATGAATTTCCAGAAAACCCTGACTTCTGTAGTGAGACGTGAGCACTCCTGGCTAGAGTTTGAACAAGAAAACAATGACGGCACTTGCACCCAGCCTCACGTTGGAGGTACTAGTCGTGACCAGAAGGCAAGGAAAAGAAAGAAAACATACCAAGGTTAGAAAGGAAGAACTAAAACTCTCATTACACACAGCTAATGTGGTTTTGTATGCAGAAAACCATGAGAATTCATAACAGAATAATATATATTTGTGCACAGGAGGGCTTGGCTCTGCCACGTTATCAATCGTTCCCAGGCGGATGCATACGGGTAAAGGTGTACTCAAAAGCTCAGAGTGGATGAAAAACAAATGGTTAGGAGGAGCCAAGACACTTCTGAAGAGCCAGAGTCACTTCACTCAAGCCAGCATCGCACCTGTCCCAGGAGAGGAAGATGACTGGCCAGCACCCAGCCACCTGCGGGGGGGGACACACGGCTCTCTCCGTCCCCCACCTCAAGCCAGCCACAGGATCAGATGGGGCATGAAAGACCGTGAAGGCATAGGGAGGGGTGCTCACTACTGCAGTATCTCAAACAGCTCCAAACCGGAAGAACCCAAGTGCCAATCAGGGGGCGTATCAGAGCCCATCAGGGCACGGGGATTAAGAGCATGCAGAGCTGCTGGCAATGCACTTGTCACAAGAAGGAGGTGAAAGAAAGAGGCCAGATGGGAGAGGACAGTGCTAGAGGTCAGGATCACGGTCACCTTCAGAGTGAGGGCAAGGAGGCCAGGGATTCTGGCTTGGATTAGATGCATCTGTGCAGCTACTCAGTAAATCCACTTTGCCTGGACCACTGTACAAGAGACTGGGAGTAAGCACAGTTGAGGCTCAGGTAGGAGAAACGAGCACCTCCTTTCCCCTCAGAGGTGTACAGTGCTGGACAGTCATGGTCACACCCATGCCCAGGTCTATGGTGAACTCTGTGCTAGGGCAGTTGACATGCCTGATGGGCCTTTCGAGCAGGGCAGGCAGTGACCCTCCAGGGCGCACTTCCAGAAGCCTCTTGGCAGGACTGGCCTACAGTGCGGGAGGGATCCTGTGGCCAGAGACTGACCAGGGCAGGCAGCAGCTGAAGGCTTCTGGGAGTGGAGACGGACAGCACAGTCTGGGATGGGGATGTCCCTGGCTGGAGTGTGGCTCCCTGGGCCTCCTTTTTTGCCACCCCCTACCCCAGCACCCTGGGGATGGACGTACCTCCTTGACTTCATGGTAGTGTCCCAGCAGGGCATAGGGGCAATAGGAGATGCTCATGGAGACAATGCCCATGGTGCTGATGGTGACCATGGCCACATAGACATTGGGGAACATGGCCATCACAGCTGTGCCTGCAGAGAAGCCCAGTGTCCCCAGCACGTAGATGACCTTGATGCTCAGGTCGTAGTTGTCCAGGTACTTCTGTAGCAAGGCTGCAGAGAGGGACCACAGGGACAGGGATGAGCTCATGGCTCTTGTCCTGTCTCATCCAACATGGCTTCCTCCAGCTGAAATGGGGTCTGGGGTACAGGTACTGCCTGCTCTTGAATGCATCTGCAGCCTTGGACCCGCCTGGCCCCCTGTGGCTCTGGCACCTCAGCAAGGCCAGCAGCTGGCCCTTCCTACAGCTCTGGGCCTCCCTGACCTGCCAGAACACTCTCTCGCCTGACCCAGCACTACTCTGTTCTCCTGACGTGGGCAGCCCAGGTCGTCGTCTCAGGACCTTGCCTTGCACCACCCATCCTGACCTGGTGGCTTAGATGACACCTCCTCCAGGAGGTGCCTCGCAAGCTCCCGAGAATTCCTCTACCAGAGCAGTGGCAACAGCTGAGTCACAGCTGCTCCAGTGCCTGGCTGACCTCGTGGCATTTACCTTAGCCACCCAAGTCCACTCGAGGCTGGTGTAAAGCTGGCCTCCTCCCCAGGGTTTAGACAGTATGGGTAGGCAAGGGGACCCTGACCACGATCATGTCTAGTCCCAGAGGTTGAGCTGGGCATGCTGCTCCTGGGGTGGGTGCCTGTCACCCCACCCTATCCATCAGGATAAAGCTGTGCCTGTAGGTAGAGGCCTCATGCCCATGACAGCCTGGACCCTGCTCCTCCTGCTGAGCCCTGGGCAGGAACCAGCAGGACCCAGGACAGCCTAGACAGAGGTGCCGTCCATATGGACAGCATTGTGGGACAGCACAGACTGCCTCCACGGGCTCTCAGAGACACCCCTTCCTAGCACAGCCGACAGCAGCTATTCCCACAGCTTCTCACCTGCCCAGACAGAAGTCAGGGTCCCACGGACACCTGAGCCTTATGAGGTATGGGATCCCCTCATCTGACTGCTGAGAACTCTCTAGGGCTACAGCTTACCTGAGCTGGACACCTCTTACCTGAGCAAATAGCACCGGTAGCAGCGTAAATGACCAAGCCCCAGCAGCCCATCTTCACCCCAGCGTTGTAGGCGTGCCAGGCAGTTGAGTTGGAGGCGTCCTGTTCAGAAGGAGACTGGGTAAGCGGGGCATATGCTGCGTGCTCAGGACAAAGGGGTGATTCTGCATTTCAACTGTGGCTGACTGTATTTCAGGAGGTGAGAAACACTCCAGCAAGGAAGGGCCCTCCCTGGTCCACAGGAGGTAAGAAGCGCTCCAAGCAAGATGGGGGCCCTCCCTGGTCCAGTCTTCAGTGGGTCAGTGGTTTCGAGTCCCTCCTTGCCACATCTGACTGTGTAGCTCAGAAACCCAGGGGTGACCCTGCCCTCTTTAAGCCCCAGGTTAGACCTGAGGAGGAGTGGACATGTGGGCCTGGTGTGTGTTGACTGCTGAGGCCCTCCTGACCAGGTAGCAAACACATCACAGGGTGTGCCCCGCTGGTACCACAGGGGCTGGAAGAACCGCCAGCACGGCTGGCATGAGTGACGCCAGATGGTCACCTGAACTGCCAGGTTGGGTGAGCTTGGCACAGGGCGGCAGACAGCTGAAGACAGCCTCACTTGGGCTTCTGCCTGGTGGAGTGCCAGGCGGGCATGATGGCTCCCGGGGCCCCATGGTGACCTGCTTCAGGCTTGCACAGCGCCTGGTCCACGTGGACGGGGCAGTGAGGGCAGGCTTGGCCGAGGCCCTATTTTCACTCTCAGCGTGCCACACTTCCTCCCCAGCACCCCACGCTCCCAGCCGCCTGCCCAGGTGCTCACCTTGGGGTCCCCTTTGAAGATGACCTGGCCCATGAAGTCGGTGTAGAAGACAGCTTCAGCGATGACGGAGAACCAGGTGAGCAGGTGGCAGAGGCACAGGCGCTTCAGCTCCTTGGGCATCTTGAGCATGGACAGCCACAGCAGGCGCACGGTGGTCTCGCTCTCGCCCTCCTCGCTCTCTGTGTCCCCGCTGGAGGTGGTGGCCCCACTCTGGTTGCGGTGCCGACAGCGCTGCCGCTGCCTCTGCTGCAGGTCGTACAGGTCGCTCATGCTGCGGGACGGCTTGATGAGCACCACGGCGTTGGCCCGCCGGTAGCGGTAGCAGTGGGACCCGACCTTGCCGTAGTAGGAGAAGGTGCTGGAGGCCTGCCTGCGGAATGCATGCCGCCGCCGCCGCATGGAGCCAGATGTGGCCGAGGGCTTCATGGCCACCCTCACGTAGCCAAGGGGGACCCTGGGCGGAGAGCCACTTCCGTTTGGGACTTTAGCTTCATTCAAGTGGTTGTCAAGCAAGGTCTCGTCCTCCTTGGCCGTTTCCCTGAGGAGCGTGCACAGGCGGGGCAGTGTGGCCCTCAGTAGCTCCTGGCTGGTGCTCTGGGGGGTGTTGGGGCAGGAGGTGTCATGGAAGATGGAGGGCTCGATGTCGCGCAGGAAGAGCAGCTCAGGCTCCACGTCCAGCGCAGCATCCGGCACGTGCAGCACAGAGTCGCTCTTACTGCGCACCAGGTCCACGTCCAGGTAGTCCAGGGCGAGCTCGTGCTCCGACTGCACCTCGTCTGGGAACAGGGGGCTGCCGTCTTGTGCAAGGCCAGGGCTGGGGGCCAGGGCGGCCTCGTCCGAGCTGCGCTCCTGCTGCGGGCAGTACTGCTCCTCCTCGATACTGAAGACATGCAGGGCCACTGACACCGCGAAGACAATGGCAGCGAAGAAGAAAAGCACCTGGTTCTGTGTCCGGAACCAGCTGCCCAGGAAGGTCTGCGTCCAGTCCAGCCCGCCCAGCACATAGCCAATGGCCCCGCCGAGGCCTGGTGGGGAGAGCAGCGGTGAGCCAGTGACCACTGCGGCCCCCATCCCCAGGCCCACCCTGAGTGAGTCAGGACACAGGGGCTGGGATGGAGCACGAGATGGCAGCGGGGGCCGGGAGGGAGGGGACAAAACAGGTGGACCCTGACTGTGGAACTGAGGACTAGGGTCTCCCAAATCCCTGCTTAATTAACTAAATGCAAACTCCTCCCAGATCTGACATGGCCTTCGGTTCAGGGTCCTCTACTGGATGCGTGTGGAACTGCCTGGCGGAGGGCAGAGATCAGCATGGGGCCTGCCCATCTGCCCTGTGAGCACATCACCCCAGGCAGGACTGGCCTGACACTCTGTCCCCATTCCTGCCTCTTCATCCTGCTAGGGCTGCACACAGGGCAGCAGAGGCCCACCCCCTCCTGGAACCCTGGCACATGACTGAGGGAGGCCGGTCTGCCCCAGGCAAGGCGTTACCAGCAGAGAAGGCATGGATGTTGAGGGCCATGTCCTGTTCCTCGCTGTCCACCACATCCAGCAGGTAGGCGCGGATGGGCCCTTCGGTCGCATCAGCGCTGAAATCCAGGACCACCACTCCCAGCACCGTGAGAACGATGCCAATGGGCTGCCGGGTGGGGACATCACCAAGGGCCAGACCTGGACAGAGAATGGGAGGGGGTGATCAGACGGCAATACCTGCCTCGTTGGACCGGGGAGCTAGCAGTCCCCTGCAGGGAGGCGGCCGGCACAGTGGGACCTCTCCAGAGCAAGAGCCTCGTTCTTTGGCAGACCCTTGGGAAAGAAACGAGCTGCTTCTTCCCGCTGTGTGGCGTGTGGGGAGATTCTTCCAAAAGGCTCCTGGCCCTGTGCTGTGAGCAGGAAGCAGAGCAGGTCGGGCTTACTGCACCATTGCTAGGGGTGGCCTCCTGCTGGGAGTGCCAGCTAGTGCCAGCTGAGCACTGCCATTTCGCCTTCTGTGAGAAAAGCATCTCCTTGCCCTTCTCAACAAGAACTGATGCTGAAGGCCAGCCCCCAGGGCCAGCCCACGGGCTGGAAGACCTCTGACGCATGCTGAGAGGGCCCCTCGGGCTTTCTGCCTCTTGCCTGTACCAGCCTGGCCCTGGAGGGTGCAGCCAAGAGGGACCCGAGTGGCCACGCACCCTGGTCCCAGTCCTATGGAGACAGCGTGAGCCTGCAGGAAGCTCCTCAGGGGTCTACCCTGACCCAGAGATCAAACTGCCCTCCTGTCCCCGATGCCTGACCAGCCAAACTGGGCCTCATGTTCCCATGAAAAAAGCACACCCTCCTGTATGAGGATCAGAGGGCATGGGGTGGGATTGAAGGCTGGGGCCCAGGAATGGCCCCACAGCACTGTTCGGCCAAATCTGGACAAATTGGTCCATAGGAGGCACAGAAAACGGGGTTTCTGCCAGGAAGCACCCCACTGGCCTCAGACTGCAGAGACAGCACCCAGGTTGAGGGCTGGAGCTTCTGGGCTGGCTGTGTTTGGCTATATGTGATGGGGCTGTACCCCAGACATGGCCCAGGAAAGCCACCTGCTATCGGAGGACCTCCCTGCTCATGGGAAAGGGGAGGCTAAGCCCAGAGCCAGCAGCAGGCATGGGAGGCAAGCAGCCCCAGGGCATCTGTACAGGGCCTGGGCTGGCTGGAGGGCGCTAGGCTCAGGAGGTGGGCAGGACCGAGCCCACAGCCCCACCTGCAGCCAGGCCCACTGAGTCGGCAGCCCTCCTGCACCAAGGTTCCTGGCCCCGCACCCAACCTCAGGCGAGGCCCTCTCTCCTTGGGCGTGCACAGGCACCTCCACCTCAGGATGTGCGGGGAGCTCACTGCCCCATTTGACAAATGCCCTCAAAGCAAACACACTTTCCCACACATAGTTGCTTTGATTAAAAACAAAACCACCACCAGTAAAAACAGCACGTGAGAGCCTGAAACAAAAAAACAAGTATCAGACCAGCTCCGGACGCTTTCAACACCAACTCTGAGAAAAGGAGAACAAAAAGAGAAGAGATAATTACTGAAATAAGCTGGAAACAGGACGTGGTGTCAGATATGCATGAAAAACAAACGGTCGGTGGGCAGGAAGCCTTTCCCTGTGAGCAGGTTCCTCCAGCTTTCCCACAAGGCGGCTCCAGCAGCCGCCTGGGCCTGGCCACCGCCAGGGGGCCAGAGTGAAGTCCCCGGTTACTGCACAGGGTGCGCAGCAGCACTCACCTATGGCAGAGCCGTTGAGGAACAGCGCCACGCCCACGAGGACGCCCACGCAGAGTGCCAGGATGAAGGGCCGGCGGCGGCCCCAGCTCAGGGTGCATCGGTCACTGGCAGAGCCGATGAGCGGCGTGAAGAGCAGGCCGAGGACGGGGCTCAGGAACCAGGTGAGACTGTAGTACTGCTCCGGGAGCCCTGGGGGAACATGTGCTGTGAGGCGGGCGTGTGCCCACGTGCAAGGTTCCTAGGGCACACCTCCTCCTGAGGGAGGCCAGGCGAGCCAGGGGCCTTGGCGTGGGTGGCCAGGCCTGCAGGGCCCCACCTGCTGCATACAGTACCAGGGCAGCACACACTGGGCGCAGCTGTGTGGTCCGGCTGTGCGTGCCGCAGGTGCTGGGGCAGCATGGCCTGGGCAGACGCTCCAAGCTGCTGGTGCTGCCAAGTGCCAGAGGGCTGATGAAGGCCCTCGGGGCACCAGAGGTGGCACCACAGTAGGCACAGACTCTGGCTTCTCCCTGAGAGGCACACGAGGGGGACACATGGGCTGCCACTGGCCACACCACCCCGACCACCCTTAACGATGCTCACATTAGGAATCCTCTCTCCGAAATAGCTCCTGACCAAACCTACTTAGAGTGAGGCTAAAAACTCAGAGAATGGGAAGCACGTCACCCCCCCCAGACTGTCACAGCTTCATGACAAGTGTCGAGTCCAGATTGTGTCCCTGTGCTCAGCACCTCCCTGCTTCTCCCCCAAAGAGCTGGGGTACCCTCTAGCACCCCATTGGCTCTCACGTTCATGCCAAAAAGAGGCACTCACCTGTCACTGTTCAAACTCCTGGTGGGGGGGGACACCTGTTCAGGAGGCCCCACACCCACTTCCTGCCCTGCCTGCAGCATCACCCACCCTGAGCACAGGGTGCACTTTGGAACCCCTGAGACACCATATGCACTGCCGACAGGCTGTGGCTCCCTGGAGATCCGTGACAGCTCACCTACAGCCCCCTCCCCTCCCAGCCTGGAGCCAAATGACACCCACAGAGAAAAAGGCTTGCTGACCCAAACCATACAGAGATGCTGGCCAGGGAGCGTCAGTCTGCCCTGTGCAGAAGTCACCTCTCTGCTCAGCCTCCAATAGCCTCAATTCCTTTTCTAACACTCCTACTCTGTCCCTGCCATGCTGCTCAGGGACCCGTTAACCAAACTCTGGTCCTGTCTTGGGCTGTGGCTGGCCAAGCCCTTAGTGCAAATCCTTGGGTGCCCTCCACTGCGAGGCCTTGCAGTGTGGTCTGTTACCAAGTCCCTTCTGAGACCAGGTTTTCCACAAATCAGACCTTTCCCAGTGAGACCGAAGTGCCACATAAGGGACCCTGTGGCTCCATCAACCTGGACACACACACACCTGGCACATCAGTGTGCAAGTTACAGCAGACGCATTTGTTTGATGCTGGTCCAGCTGCAGGAGAGGAGCAGACATGAGGGGGACCTGTTGCATGTCCCCCTGGGTAACAGCAGCAGGCCTGGTGCTGGGCCTGGCCTGGGCAGCCCCCAGGCCACCACATGGGCTGAGAAGCCGGCCGTGGAGAGATGTCATATGACTGTGCTGCTCAGGGTGGCTGACAGGGTTGGGAGGCCACACCATTCAGCCAAGGGAAGAGGAGTTGTCAGGGGAACTGGGCTGTGGACGAGGCAGGAGCGGGTACCTGAGCCCATGGAGGGTGGGGCTGTGGGGTCGCAGTCTTCAGAGGGGGACACAGGCAGTCCGGCAGGTGCTCTCTCCCAGCAGGTTGACAGAGCAGGCTTTGAAGGAACAGTCCTGCCGAGCCTGTGTGCCCCACACGCTTGCCCCCATATCAGGGACAGCTTGCTCAAGTCAGGGCTGTGCCTGGGCCCGAGGAACACACTGCTCCTCCCCACACTTCTAGGTGTGTGTGGCTGGTAGGAGGCTGCCCAGGGGCAGGGGCAGGGGCAGGGCTCCAGTGTGGGCTCTTCAGGGCCCAGCTGTCTGTCATCACTTGTGCTATTTGGAGGAGCTCACAGGTGCACCCCAGTCTCAGGTCCTTCTCGAGAGCTATGGCTCTAGCACAGGGACTGGCAAATTCTGCCATCTATTTTTGTGTGGCCTTCCAGTTAAGAATGGATGTTACATTTTACCAAGTTGAAAAGATCAAAGTAAAACTATTTCCTGACATAAAAAGTTATGAGATTAAAAATCTGGAGTCCCCAGGTTAGACGCCGCAGTTTGCCGCCAGCCCATCGGCTCCCCAGCTGCACTCTGTCTGGAGGCCCTTCACCTGAAGGTGACAGCCACCCCGCCAAGGCACCCCTCTGCCAGCTGGGTCTTCACCAGTCCCCCTCTCAAGGAACTTTTTAAATACATGGTATATAAATGGCTCTTATTTTTCTATGCATCTTTGTTGGCATATTCAGTTTACTTACACTTAATGTAATTATGATTAGGTTGGAGTTAGGTCTACCATTTGCTATTTGCTTTCTGTCTGACCCCCCTTGTTTCTTTGCTTCCCTGTTCCTATTTTCTTTTGATTAACTGAATATCTAGGCAAATTCCAATATACTATAGCCTTCAGTGGTAGGTACTTTTAGTGATCACTACAGATATTACCTATCAAACACTTACAGTCCACTTAGTGAATATGATAACACATAACACAAACCCCACCATATGCTTTTGCTTTTACTAGTTGTGTCTATTCTAAAGGAATCCAGAAGAAACAATCGTATATACCTACACATTTCACCATTTGCAGGACAACTCCTTCCTTCTTGAAAGATCTGTTTCTTTGAAGACGCTTCTTTAGTTTATTTGACATTCCTTAAAAAGCATCTGCTGATGCTTTTTTTCAGATTTGGACTCTGAAATCTCCTATTGCATTTTTATTCTTGAATATTTCTGCTGGATACAGAGTCGGGGCTCCAACCCTCTTCACGGAGAACCCCGAGGAGGGTTCCCAGTGGTCCAGCTCCACTGTGTCATTCAAGGAGGCTGTCCTTGGGACTGTCCCCCGCTCATCATGCGCCGGGCGCTCTCCAGAGCCTCCCGCCGTTGCTGCTTCTCAGCAGTGTGGCTCTGATGAGTCTAGGGAAGAGGTGCTTGACACGTTCCATGCTCGGGCTCGCTGGACTCCACGAATCTGTAGATTTACAACTCTTACAACGTTGTGATGCTCTGTTCTCTATTTCTTCTATTCTACGACTCCAATTATAGACGTATCGTCCGTGGTTATATACATACATCACACAGACTGACTCTTTGATACTGTCCCCGTTTCCTCAGGCTCTCTTCATCTCTCTTTATGATCTTTATTCTCTGTCCTTTGCTGTGGATGATCTCTACTGAGGAATCTTTAGGTCTCCTGTCTCCTCTGCCATCTCCAATCTGCTCTTAATCCTACCGGTTAACTTTCAATTCGGATGTTGTATTTTTTGGTTCTCGAGTTTGTCAGTTTCCCCACTCTTACACTTGTTTCTGTGCTAGAACTCTACTCTACATCATGAGCGTGTTTCCCTTCACGTAACAACCAGTCACGCGGGCTTCCTGACAATCCCAATCTGAGTCCTCCCCCTGGGGTCAGTTTCCCCAGCTGCCTTTTCTCTAGAGTAAAGGGACATTTCTTTTTTACTTTTTTCAGTCCTTTTTCTTTGTGTCTAGAAATACTGTGGGGCTGGGGACATAGCTCAGTTGGTAGAGTGCTTGCCTTTCATGTACAAGGCCCTGGGTTCAATCTCCAACACACAAAAAAAAAAAAAAAAAAAGGAAAAAGAAATGCTGAATTATGCCCTAGACATTGCGAACAGTGCGTCACAAAGACTTCATACTCTTGTTATGTTCCTTCCAGGACTATCGATATTTCTGCTGTACACACAATTAACCGAGCTGGACTCTCAGAGCTCTGTTCTCCCCACAGAGTGAGACGGCAGAACTCCGTGCAGTTCTATCAGCTGCAGCTACGCAGCCTGAGATCTGGCTATGAATGTGCAAAGGCCATTCAGGAAGCAAACGGAGCCACGAGCAGTGTACACGCGAGGCTTGGGTCCCTCCCTGCGTCTTTGGTTCTGTGAGACAGGAAGAGGGCTGGCAGCTGCCATGTCTTCGCCACCCTGTGGCACAACTAAGGAATTTTCAGTTCAAGGTGGAGAGAGACACAGAGACAGACAGACACACCGGTCAGCCCATGCCATTCCCTTCTTCCAATTGCCCCTCCTCTTCCAGGTTCTGGCCCTCTGTTACTCTACTGCCTTTGGGGAGTCGTTCTTTACATCCTGTCCACAATCTGCGCCCGTTACCTGTGGGAGGGCTTCTGCAGGTGCTTCTCTGTGACCTCTGGCTGCCTGACCCTTGGCAGCCATTATTGGCCTCATGGACTCTGTGCCGTGACCATCTGCCTTCTGCCCTGCTTTGTCACACTGCAAGCTGCAGAGAGAGGCAACCAACATGTCCTGTTCCCTCAAACCAAACTGTGTCATGCAGCAACTGCCAGCTCTCTCTGCATGCCACGTTGCCCTGACCTTCTGACTCAGGGTAACCGGTAAGTGGCCAGCAGGTAGGGTGAACTGCAGTCACTGACACAGGTCAGAAGGGAGACTGGTGGCAGGGACAGCTCTCCATGACCTACTGATGGTGATGATCTTGTGACAGGATTTACAGAGCCTGGTCACATGTCACTGTGTTCTCACAGTCACCACTGAGGCTTATATTATGGTTCCTGCTTTCTGGTGAGGAGAGGAAGGCTCAGAGAGGTGACCTGCTGACATGGTGACAGTCCAATGAATGGCCTGACAAAGACAATCCGCCAGCACCCACGATCCCAACACCCCTTGTCAGCTCTGCGTGGGTGCAGCCACCCGAGGGCCAGCAGCAGCACCAGGCCTGGTTCGAATCTCGAGCTGGGGTCTGGAGACAGGTCTGTTACCTCCTCTGTTACACCTGGGCCAACTGGCCAACCTGGCACCTGCTACCAGCTTTGCTACCAGCGGGTCTCAGGGCTGGAAGCCTAGGCTCAGGAAGTGGCTGGGAAGGTAGGTGTTAAGGCAGAAGGAGGGCAAGCTGGCACCAGGAGGATGGGCGTAGACACATGCCACTCATCCCCTTCCCACTGAACACTCTCCATGTAAGAATAGAGATGCACCAGGCTCCCTGGCAGAAGCTCCAGTCAACTTCAGCCTCTCAGGTTGAGGTCAGTAAGGTGGAGGGAGACCACCAGGCCTCATACCTGGAGAAGTGAGCTACATGCCTCTGTAGGGCCGTGGTCAGCCATGAACACTCTTGGACCAAGCATGGACACGCATAGGGCCTGGCCACAGGGGACTGTCCATAACTCATCCTCTTGAGCGTGTGCAAGGCCCTGTGTCAGCTGGACTCATGCAGAAGCCCCACTACAAGGACAGGCAGAGGGAACCTGCCCACTGAGCCCCACAGAAAATGTCTGGGGGTCGTCATTAGACCCCACAGAGCCCTCGGGTCGACTGCCCCACGTTCCTCTCCTCAGAGACTCTTTCACTGCAGGCCAACGGGTCGGCTCAGGAAGTGGTGGGAGTCGCGGCACGAGGGACAGACACCCTGTGCTCTGCTGAATAGCTGCAGCTGCTTTTCAAAGCTGCAACCACAGGAAGTCAGGGAGACTGAGGCACAGAGGCCATGGCTTAGCACCCACTCAACCCAACACATGGCGGGGGTCAGATGCAGCCTCCCCAGGGCCAGTGGCACTGTTCTCAGTCCACCCACATGCCGCACCCCAAGGCTGCTCTCCAGAGGCTGTCCCCAAGGGCAAGAGTGTGCTGGGGCGAGCCTGCTCTGTGGGTGTGTGCTTCTCTGGGCAGAGCCCTGCACTGACCTGCAGCTCTGGCTGGGAGGGACGCAGGTAGCTCTAGGCACGGAGTTCTCAGATGGGAGCTGGGAAAGCCCAGCACTCTTCTGAAAATAGGGCTGTAACTGGAGAGTATTTTATGATTGGGCAGCAGTGGCCAGGGATCGGGGAGGCAAAAGGAGATTGTAGGTGTGGGCCAAAGCTCCACGCCCCCAGGGAGAATGCTCCCAGTCACCAGCTACATCCGGCCTGGTACTGATGGCTCCAGGGGATGCACAGACCCACTGGGCACCAGCCTGCCTTCTCCAGCTCACAGCAAGCCTGATGCCCGAGGGGCAAAAAGAGATGGCCTTGGGGAAAACCACCTGCCAGGCCCTCAGCTCCTGCTCCTACCCCACCTGCTCCCCCGGCCAGCCATTACTCACTGCCGAGGCCTTGAGCCTTTGGGCAGAGTCCTCGCAGGCTCACCAGCTCACCTGGGCCCCAGAGGAGGTAGAGGTCGCCACCCCTCTCCTCCTGTCCTCAGCCACCCTCCCCTCCCCGCCTCACATGCCCCCATCTGTGTCTCTGGCTTGGGGCTTTGCTCTGCTGAGCAGCATGTGCTGGCACCTCCACCTGGGGGCTGCTTCCCTCTCCCTCAGTCCTGACCCCCACAGTCACCCTGCCCTGCCCTGCCCACCAAGCTCTCTTGTCAGGCCACCAACCCACGAGGGCCTCCCCAAGGCCAGAGCTGCGGAAGACCCATGCTCAGAGCCTTTGGCAGCTCCTCCTGGCCTGACGTTATAAATAACTTTAACACACAAGGTGGAGGGCCCAGGTTAGATCTTCCCAAGCCATGTGTCCTCAGAGCCTGGTCAGACCCAGCAGCTTAGGGGCTTCTCCTGTCCACCCTTCCCCTGCCCCTTGGGCACCCAGTCGACTTGGAACAGCATCACCGTATTGAGACAGCAGGCCCTGGGCAGGTCTGCTCCAGCAGCGGTCACACCAAGCCTGCTGGGCATGCAGACACCTGCTGAGGCACCAGCTCCCAGTGATCGGGGACACACTTTGCTTCCCTTCAGTGGATACAACACTGCTCGGTGGCAGGCTCAGCCCATTGCTGCAATCCCCCCATGTTGGAGGATGGCTTATGGAGGAGCTGGAGACCAGCCTGGGCAAATGAGACCCCCATCTCAAAATCAAATCAGCACATGCCTGTCGTCTCAGCAACTTGGGAGGCTTCAGTAGGAGGAGTGCAGATGAGCAAGATCCTGCCTCAAAATCAAATGAAAAGGGCCGGGGATCTGCTCAGTGGTAGAGTGCTTGCCTAGCGAGTGGGAGGCCCTGGGTTCCATCCCAAGCACTGCACAAGAACAAACACACCCAACTAGGGGCAGCCAACCAACCCCTTGGGCATACAGGTGCTACTTAATCTGCTTGAGCCTATCACAGACGAGGTGTCTAGAAGAGGAGACCAAAGCAGGGATCACAGTACTGCCAACCCCGTGGCCTGGTTCCCTAAGCACGTGTGGCCCCCACCCTGAATGGGCCTCACCTCCCTAGCAGCCCACTAGCTCCTGAGGGCTGGCCATGCAGCCAATTCCTCTGTGCTCAGCAACGCTGACTGACAACAGTGTGGGGTCGCGCCATGCCAATCCGACCCCCAACTCTCCTCCCCGGAAGGAGTGTGATGCCTGAGATGAGAGCTCTTTACCATGGACACACACACAGGTTACTGGACACCTATGGGTGGGTTTGTGGTCTCCCAGGTGTTGCCTTGGGGTTAAGTAAGACACCACCAAAGCCTAAAAACCATGGCTGGGTGAGGCAGGCAGCTGGCACAGCCAGGGCTCCGGCAGGAAGGCTGAAGGACCTGGGGAGCACAGGCTGGAAGAGGGGTTGAGCCCAGGCCCACAGAGCAGCAGGGGCGGCCTCTCCCTTCTCCCAACTCCCCTGGAAGTTCTTTCCAGGCTGCCAAGGGTCAGACCAGCAGGAAATGAGGGCCTCTGCTCCAGAGCTACCTGCCACTGAGCTCACAAGTCCCAGGAAGGGGACAGAGCCCACAGAGCTGGCCAAGTGACAGGGTGACAGCTCTCTTTTGTTTCACATGTTGGCAAGAAAAATAAACACTTCCCATCACGTCTCCAAGGCAGCCCTGGACGAGCGAGCCCCCTGCCCCTGCCGCAGGCTGAGACACCCCAGCACCCGCCTGGGCCGTTCCCGCCCCCCCCTGCAGGCTGAGATGCCCCAGACAGGCAGTTCCCAGCAAAGCGCCGCACACAGCGCCAGCCCCTAGTAAACGGCTCTTGTTTTTTCCAGGCAAAAGCTGAACAACAATGGTGGGACCCGGAAGGCCCCCGTTCACAGGAAACACTCACTGTGTCACGGCGCGTCGGCGGGCTGTGTGAGGTCACTGCGACGCTCGGGCCACGTGGGGCGACTTGTATTCACAAGGGCACTTTTGATAAACTGGTGCTTTTGAGGGGGAGGGGGCTGGGAAAGTGGCCCATAAATGTTAACAAAAGGTCTGGGATGGGAATGGGAACTCACGCTCTTTCACTCAATAGCCAAAGCCTGCCGTGTCCAGATATGCTTGTACTCTCAGACAAAAATTCACGATAGCAGCCTCGTGAGAACCGGTCCTCCATGGGAACGGCTCTGCATCCTCGAGTGACCTCAGGCCTGCCACTCAGTGGAGAAGCCAAGCCCAGGTCAGGCTGCCAGGGGTGCAGCCCACCCGTCACCAGGCCCAGAACCCAGGATGATGGGTGATGGGGCCTTGTCGGGTAGGGGCCCTGCTGTGAAGGGAAGGGGCACCTCCAGCTGTGGGGGAGCACAGGGCTGCAAGGAGTGCTCTGGAGAGGGGTCAGAGTGGAGGAGGGACACCCAGGTGGTGTCTCCCAGCCCCATTTCAAACACTGCATCCCCAGAGGTGGGAGGGGCGGGACTGCTGCCAGGCTATTTTGTAAGTCACCTCTGTATCCCTGCCTGCCACCCACCAAGCCTTCCTAGAGGTCTACAATCCTCAGAGTCCTATGGGACCAAGGGCCAGGGTGAGGGTGGGCCCTGGGCTGCCTCCCTGGGCTTTCCCAGGAGTGCAGTAGTTAAATCTTAGGATGAGCGACCAGAAGCCCCAGAGCCAGGGAGGCGACTCCATGGAGAGAGGTGTCCCAAAGAAGTCTGACACCACGACCCCTGTGGAGGGACTCAGACAGGGCACCCGAGGGCTCCTGCCAGGGCCGGTGCTGTGCTGGCTGTAAGGCATTCCCATGACCTTGGGGAGCCTTGCTTTCTTGTCTGTCACTTGGGGAAGTGCCTGATTTCCAAGGACCAAGTCACACGAGGAGCCTGACACATAGGAACTCCCCAACAATGCTGGTGTGAGAGTTCCTCATCACACTTGCCACTGGGGAAACAGATAAAGGGCCCTGGGACAGGCGCAGGGACTCACCGGGAGCAGGAAGGAGCCCCTGCACCAGGCGACATTGGGGATGGTGAGACGTTGGTGGGGTGTGGGGAGCTGAGACGAAGAAGGAGCTATCAGATGGCAGAGGACCAGGCAGGAGGCAGGAGGCAGGAGAGGCCTCCCTGTCTGCCTCACCCGTGTCTGCCTCACTAGAAGCTGAGGCACTCCTGCTAGCCAAGGGCCCAGGGCCGGCATCCATGGCCTGGTGCATGAGGAAGAGGGCATCAGGGGAGGCAGAACAGGAACAGTGTGAAGAGAGTCAGGACCTTTGCAGGTGGTATCAGCACCAGGAAGGAAGTGCAGCCAACTCTACCTGTGTGACCCCCTCCCCAGGAGCACAGGTTTGGTTCATTGGGCTTAAGAGTGTCACAGGCCACTCTGCACATGAACCCTGTTAATGGCACATAGTTGGGATCCATGGCCATGCAGGAGATGCATTAGTGGGCTCTGTGACTAGCAGCTGTGGTCCCAAGGACCCATGGGAAGGCAACGGGAACAGCTGGGGGTGACTCTTGTTTCTCCCTGAGGTTTGAGCCAAGACTTCTCAGCTTTCTGTCTAGGTTCCTAGAAGTTCTTCCAGCCCTCCTCAAAGATGACCTTTCCTTTCACATGCCTGAGGCCTAGGGCCACCTGGACAGGCAGGGACCTGAGGTAGCTTGGTGAGAAAAAGGGCACAGGTGTGCTTCTTGAGGGACGAGCAGACTGGTGGAGGGGAGCCGTGGGTCCAACACAGGGCCAGCAGAGGGAAAGTGGCTGTGAGTGTCAGGCCAGGGCACTACCCTGGTACCCCAGGCAGCAGGAACGCCTCAAAAATTTCTGGTCCATCAGATGCAGGGCAGGGTGGGGCATAACGCTAACAAGGCCTACTGGGAGGGCTCAGAATACTGGGGTCAGAGGACCTACCAAGTCACCAAAGATCAGGTGCCAGGTAACATGGATCAAAGACCCTAGAACAGCTATAAGAAGCCACTCCTGGAGGGCAGCCAGCTACCCTGAGCTGAGCAGCCAGCTGGGCAGCACTCAGGGCAATAGCAGGAGGCCAAGAGTGGAGATTCACATCCAGAATGATCAGGCCACCTGGCTTCTTTGGAGCAAGACTCCCTGGTGCACAGGAACAGGCCTGAGGACCAAGGAGGGTCCTCCCTCAGCAGACAGGCCAGCACCCAGCTGCAACCTGCAGAGTCCAGTGCAAGATGGAAATGGTGCAGGACATCAGACCCCCCACCTGGATGCATCTGCGAATGAGGATTGATTTTAGTTTGCAAACCTGCTGGCTTACTGAGACCAGGGACTGGCATGCAAGGGCAAATGGCCCGAGCATCTGAAAATTGCAGTTTGCTCACAGAGGACCAATAACCAGCTCTTCTTCCCTCCGTGGGAGCTGGACAACAGTGCTGGGTAACCAGCAGCCATGGGGCTGAGGGCAAAGGGCAGCAGCAGGACAGCACCACGGCATGCTCAGCAGGTGCCCGGCAATAGGCCAGGGTCTCTACTCACCCTGCCCCGCCTTGCAGATGGCATGTCCAGGTGAGCTTTAAAGTGAGGGGGGCTGAGCTTCCAGAAGATTCTGTCACGGCCAAGGTCACATAGCTACTAGGGATGGAGCAGGTAGGAACCCAAATCTGCCCTCCCCACTTGGGTTCTGGGAATCTCCCTAATCTGTGTTCCAACTCTGGGGGTATAGGGCTTCGCATCCATGACGAGGACAAGAACACAGCAAACGCGTCTTTCACCCCAAGATGTTACCATTTGAAGAGGGACAGGCCAGAAACCCAGGCACCATGCTTGCACAGTGTTATATATAGTTCTGATTCCAACAAGTGGCCAGAAAACCCCCAGGGGAGCTTGATGCCGTCTTCACATGACAAGGCCAAGTGTGGCCTCCACAACAAGTGCACGAACATTCCACTGGCCGCAGGGTCTCCTCCACAGTGCCATGGTCCCGGTGGTGTAAACACCCCCCTGTGGCTGACTTCAACCACCGAAGGTGTCACCGAGCAAGGAGCTGAGGAGGGTGGCAGCCAGCGTTCCACTGACAGGACACAGCAGATGACCTTGCCGTGGGCACGGGCAAAGGCTGCTGATCAGGAAGTAGGGAATCCTTATTACCTTTGTTGCTAACACAATTCAAACTGTGAACACATAATTTAGTTTTTAATAACAGATATGTCAGCAACCACCCAAAGGGCTGCCTCTGGCCACCTGGTACCAGCCAGATCCAACTAAGAGCAGGGGTGACTGGGGTGACTCTTGTTTCTCCCTGAGGTTTGAGCCAAGACTTCTCAGCTTTCTGTCTAGGTTCCTAGAAGTTCCAGGGAGCTGGAAATCCCAGGATTCAGAGATTACACCTTGCCCTTCCGCAAGGAGTTTCTGAGGTAGCTTGAGAATGCTTTTGAATTGGAACTAGCAAGGGAGTGGAAATTAGGAGGACTAAATTCTTATTAATGGCTGCTGTCGCAGTTCACCCCCAGCCTCATCTGCCTCCATGGCACCTCTGCTCACAGGCACCCCCACTCCTGCCTTCTTGCTCTCTGGGTGCAGGGCCTCAGCAGGGAGGGGCTGTGGGTCCGCTAATGGGTGAAGCTGTCCTGCGAGGCTGTGCAGGCCCCTGAAGGAGCAGGCACTGTGGTCTGGACTCTCACCAGCGCTGTGAGAACTCCAACCTCGGAGCTGCTGAGACCACGGTGGACAGCCCTTGGCACGGGGCTGCGGTGTCGGGTCTGTTGGGGTTCTCTCCCTGTGGGGGCCTAATGTGCCCAGCATGGTCAGGAGCATGGGAAGCTGGCCTGGGAAGCCGGCCTGGTGGCCCTGAGAGAGGCAGCGGCTGGTAGAAAAGCTCATATTCTCACTTTTCACCCACTGGCTGGGGCCCCAGGCAGGTCACTTTCCCTTCAGCTTTGATTCTGACCTCAGAGAGGCCGCCTCGTCTTGTCGCAGCTTTGTAGGCCTGAAAGGGCCAGTGTGCAAAGTGGCCTTGAGACCTGCTCCCTGCCCCAACCTGACACTCAGCTCTGGGTGCTGCTTGAGTCCTTCCACCCGAATGGGGTCTTGGGTGTTCTGGCAGCACATGTCCCCACACAGGGTTCCAGAGGTGGGCAGGAAGTGCCGGCCTGTCAGCTCCGTCCGCAAATGGACAGCTTGCTCTAGGTCATTCTCCCGCCTCAGCGCCAGGATCCTCATCCCACACACTGCCAGCCCATCTCCCTGAGAAGCAGCACCGATGACCACAGGCCTCTCCCCAGGGCTCAGCTGGCTTCCAGCATGGTGTTATCTCCTGGGGGTGAACCCACCTCCTAGGAGCACTGCACCCCAGGCTTCTGCTCACCACTGGGCAGGCTGTCCCTGGAGGGGCGTGCCCCTGCCGGTCTGCCCTCCAGGGGGACAGGGTGTGTCTGGCAGCTGGCAGCTGCTTCCTAACAGGCTCTCAAAATCCATGCTGCAAAAGGAAACTGACTCCTCAGCTCGGAGCTAGTCACTGCTGCCCAGTTTCCAGCGAAGGTCACATGCCCGGGCCAGAGATGCAAGTGACCCACATACAGGGCCGCAGCTGGGCCTGTGCAAGGTCAACACACTGTGAAGTACTCTGACCCACAGCAGCACTGCCGAAAACAATCCCTGCAGAACTAACTGCGCTCAGAAGCCCCGCTTCATGTAGGAGTGACAGTTAAAATGTCCGCGCTGT